TCGATTCTCGTTTCTCAGTTCTGATTTGGCTGGCTCTGAGACTGCCTCTCACGTCTTGTCTTGCCCTCACGCGCTTCGGCAGCTGCCAACTGGGCCTGTGCTTTGATTTGTTGAGAGTTGTAACTGCGTGTGAAATGAAATGACGTGATATTGGTGTGCTGTGATTTGGGACGTGGTCTGCTGCTGTGCGAATCCGCGTGAAGTCTGAGATGATCGGTCGCTTTTCATCACAGGTCTCAGTTCTGAAACACTGAAACGTGAATCTGATGGGGGAAAGCTGCTCGGATAAGGGCGCGTAACTTTTTCACTTTTCATCGTCCGGACGGAGAGCCGTACGGACTATTGTAGGGTTACATTTTTCGTCTAGTTTCGTGAGTAAGTTCGTAAGACCCCTTGCGACGTCGCGTCTGACACTTTTCTGCTGGTTCATCGTCCGTTCTTCGCTCCTGGCGTCGTCCGGACAGCATTTCGGACCGTCCGGAACTCCTGCAACGTCATTGGTGCGCGAAGCACAATTTTCATCAGTTCTGGCGACTCGGTTTCCCGCTCGCCAGAACCACATTGGGAGGGAAAGGCAACACAGAAGTTCCACAATCGTCCGAACGGGCACACAGACCCACAGCACCAAAAAAAGGGAACTCACGATAGTCTGGTTTTTTTCTGGTCCAAATGCATGCATGCGAAGCGGCCGATTTGCTGACGAGATAGGTTATAGGCGTAACTTTTTCGCTCAAGATGCAGTTGTCGCAACTGCAAAAAAGTGTCATAATAGGGGTACGGACGCTTCATCGTCCGTACCACATCCCCAATCGTCCGGACGGAGCTCTGTTCGGACGGTTTGGGGCCTCCGTCGGGACATTTGAATGAAACGGAAAAAGTTACGCGCCCTATGTCCTACCATGTACGTACGGGCAGGCATGCTGGACTGCACTGGACCCGTACGGCATTCGCTTGGTTTTCATTTGGAGACACGTGTGAACGTTGTGATTTCAAGAAACTGGGCAGCTAAATACAGTCAAACCTGTACAGTTTTTTTTTTTTTTTTTTCACAATCCGCCCTTTTCACGTCAGACACGCCCTTAGCAGGATGGGGAAAAGCTGTCAAATCAGGGTTTGGAGACAACGGGCAGGTTTCGCCTCAACAAGATGAAACGCTTTCATGTGGTTGCGTTATTCGGAGAGTCAGGACAGGTTGCCACTACGTCCCCACATCTTTCATGGTATTCTCCTGTACAAGTGTTACGCAATTGTTAGCTTTGAAGAACAATGGTATGCAGTTTTCCTCCTGTCATTGCGCAATACTATGTAGCGCGTACACATGCAAGCCCCCCCAGTCCAAGCACTCACTGGCTGTAGAACTTCAAGTTGGAATAAGATATTGCGCTGCCAAGGTCAGGCTTGTACAGGCACTGCAATACAACGAAGCGAGTACAGCAGACACCAGCTTCTGCACTCGGTTCTGCTTTTTAGCAGTCTAAAACCTTGACACCCACCTCTAGCCGCTTTCGCGCTGTTCCTCAGCGTGTCGACAGAACAGATGGCAAAGAAGTCGAGAGAGACGAGAAAGCGGCAGCTCGAGTTCGATCAACAGAGTAAGAACGAGGAGTCGACAGGCCGTGCGTAGGTCAATGCGCGCCAAGGTTCGCTCGAGGCTCGGATTCCTTTTTTACAACACGAGCGTCGTCCTGCGCAGTGAGCTTGGCGATAGTTAGCTGAGGGTTAGCATCTCGGCGACTCCGTCCTTTTCTGTAATGGCTAAGTGCTCGTTCAGAACGTGACAGCCTCCTAGCTCCTCCAAAACCCCCTAAATCTCTCTCTAACATCCCCCTCCTCCCCATCTCGCACACGCGCTTCCTTCTTTCTTTCAGGAGAAAAGGAACAGAAAGAAAAGCTGCAAAAGAAGAAGGAAGAGAAGTCCTTGAAAATGAAGGTAGGCAGAGAGATAGATAGGCTAGTTGTGTGCTTCCTTCGAGCAAGTAGTTTCTAAAGCCCCCTTCCTGTGCTATCTTTTCGAGGTTTGTAACTACCTAACTACCTGTTGATCGGTGGCAGGTTGATTCCAAGTCTGGTGTGGCCAAGAAGAAGAAAGCTTCTAAATATCAACTTCGGGTGCAGAAGAAGCTCCAGCTAAAATAGGAAAGCGTGCGGCGCACAAACAGATGAAGGAATCTGCCAAGGCCTTGATGGACATAGAATAAGTAGACGTTCAAACAAAATTTGCTGTACACGTGTTGTAAGAGGTATAATAACAATTTTGTATAAAAATGCGTTAGCTTTTACTGCCCCAGGTAACTCTTGGAGGAAAAAATAACATCCGCAGTCATTGATTGGTCCTCACTTCCTCTAGCTCTTGCACTGGGTGCGCTCCCTCCACCTCCTCAACCGTCAGGTCCTCGTTTCCCCAGCTATGCTCCGCGCTGAACGTACTTCGGTCTTCTGACAGGTCGCTAGGAACTATCACGTCACACTCTGAGTCTGTGTCGGAATCGGCGTCAGGCAGCCGCGAGCATACGGTGATTAAGGCCCGAGAGCAGCCGCCGCGAATTCCGCCGGAAATGGCAGCCAAGCAGGAAAGTGCGGAGTTTGGGGTGGCTGGGCACTTTTGAGGACAAGGAAGTATCACATAGCCGTTTGTTCTCATACCCGCTGAAGCCATTCGAGTCGAAGCAACAAAACTGGAGCAAAACACAGATATGCTGCGAAGAATAGAGACTAGTTGTCTAGTATGCTCACGGAGAGTGGAGCAGCTAATGAGCTACTCAGAAAATCGCCTGCATACCCCGCGGGACGTCATTGTGAAATCGGTTATAGTGAAGTCAAGATGGGAAAAGCACGGTTAACGGTGGTTAAATTACGTTTCAGTATGGTTCAATTAGGCAAACGAAAATAACAAGGTTTTCCACCCATTCGGCACAGTTCAGTGTAGCGAGTACAGGGTGTAGGGGTTTCAGCGAACAAGCTGTCGGCTGAAGTCTCGTAGGTTCAAAGTTGTGGTGGGTGTTCGTCGTATAAGGCGTCGCAGGCGATGTTTTTGGTCGTACAAATCCGTCGCTGGGTCGCGCGAACAGTGAACACTAGCAGGTTCGACGGCGCTTGCGAAAAATGTCGAAGGTGTGCGAGTGTAGCCATGACAGCACTGCAGCGAATCCACTTCCCCTTCGTCAGCAGGTCGAAGGGTTACGTATGGTTGCTGCTGTAATCCCAAACCGACGTTGACATGAGGCTGGTGCCAGCCAAACCCATGATCCTCGTAAGAAGCAAATTGCTGCAAATTGTAAGACTAACCTTCTAAGTGTACACGAGATTTCTATATTCAGTATACGTTAGCAGGAATAAAGTAAGGAATCTCGTCAGAGTAAGACGGCTCCCCCCGCTAAGGACGGGTCGGTACGTGGATGCTTTCTGTGTGATTCAAAATCGACAGCCAATACCAAGATATTCTGCGGCTCCAAGAACTTCTCTCGATAGTATCACTTAATGAGAAGACCTTGGGATGTTATGCAATTTGCCGCTGCACGAATCAGCTTCGTTCCCTCCTTTCCCTTCCTTCCTCAATTCCGCATTTCCCTCTGCACGGAAGACAGCGAGGAAAAGGGCTGAAGCAGTGGGGAATAGGCGGAAGGGTAAGAACAGCCATTCCCTCTGCAGCCGCTATGCTTCTACTTGTGGTTCTGCTATGATACGACAACGGCTTTATTATCTTGGAAGCCATACTCCAACAAACATGGCTGTGCTTGGCTAGGAGCCTCCGAGCATTCCACCGATCCCATTATGTTGTTACATGCTCAGGTTGAAAGAAGACGGCCGCGATGAGCTGATCGTCGTGCTATCTTAGTATTTAGGGTAACACATGTTTCGTTAGTATTTATTGAACCGCTATCGCTTCATAAATACGTTCCATGTGGTAACCCATAGCTTATTCAGTAGCTCAGGACTTGAGCTTCCGCAACTCAATCCCGACGAATAATGCGTTAACGGGCGGAGAGTAGCGACATCGTTCTCCATATTCCTTCTCACTGTTGAACAATGACGCTTTATTTGAGCAGTAGCCGTAGGAGGCGGAGGGCTGATGGGAATAACGGAGCTGCTAAGTCTGGCATACGGGCTCGGCAGCTGAAGGCTACTATTGGGGTGGACTACAGGTTTGAAGCGCACAGACATTTTCACAACGAAAGACCTTTCTCGTCGAGACGAAAGCGTTCTAATATGCTGCATGCTGAAGCTGAAGCGCGATCAGTGGGGCATCTCTCCAACAATGAGCCTCTTAAGCGGTCCGCACCGGATATATCTAGTCAGTCTTCGTCGGACGCCGGTCGGTCGTTAGAAGTCACGGTCGCAGAGCATCGCTCCGCTCGTCGCCACCCACCGATACCGTACGACGTCACATCTGTCGCACAAGGTAACCCCGCCGGTCAAGACGCTGCAGGGGGTCTTCGCGGATCAGGCGTCGCGACAGCGCAGCAGTTTCCTTTCCCCATTCCCATTCCTCCCGCGGCGAACCGCCCTACCGGTCCCATCATTCCCGTTGACCCTCCTCCCCTCTTCAACTTCCCACCCGCACCGAACCGCCCTACCGGGCCTGTGTTCCCGTTTCCCCCGGCCCCGTCCCGACCGCCAATCAACGTGCCTCCTATCAACCCTCCGCCTACCACGTTCCCACCCCCTGTCGCTGCCCCACCTCCGCCTGCGAAAAGCCCACCGCCACCGGCTAACCCGCCTCCGAAGCCGCCCGTTAACCCGCCTCCTAAGCCGCCCGTTAACCCGCCTCCTAAGCCGCCTGTTTTCCCGCCTCCTAGGCCGCCGAAGCCTCCCACTAACCCGCCTCCTAAGCCACCTATCTATCCTCCTCCTCGGCCTCCCCCCTCTCCACGCCCACCTCCTCCCGCGCCTTCTCCTCCCCCACCTCGCCCCCCCAATCCCCCTCCACGCCCGCCGTTGACCCCCCCGAAGCCGCCTCCTCAGCCCCCGAAGCCACCGGCTAGTCCCCCTAACCCCCCGCCACGCCCCCCGAAGCCGCCATTGACTCCCCCGAACCCGCCACCACGTCCCCCCAACCCGCCACCTGTCCCGCCGCCCGCGCCGCTCCGGCCCCCTCCCAGTCCTCCTGCCCCTCCCCCTCTGATACCTTCCCCTCCCCCCGACATAAGTCCTCCTCCCCCGGTCCTTCCGCCCGCCCCAGCCCCGTTCCCGCCCCCGGTCACTCCCTTCCCTCCCCCTTTGCTACCATCCCCATTTCCTCCGCCTTCCCCGCCGTTCGTCCTTCCGCCGCCTCCGCCCGAATCGTCGGGGCTATCGATGGGGGCGATCATAGGCATTGCGGTCGGCGGCGCCGTGGGGCTGATTTTCCTCGTCACGTGCGGCCTCCTCGCCTTCTTCTTCCTCGTGCCGAAAAAAAAAGAGGGCGAACGAACGCGCACCCGCGGCGGCGGCGGCGGCAGCGCGGCCCCAGGGACCGTGGGCGGCGCGGAGAAGGCGCCGTTTTACGCGCAGCCGCATCTGGTCCGCGGGGTGCGCGGGCGGCAGGCGGCAGCTGCGGCTGCGGCCGGGGTAGCGGCCGGCGCGGCTGCCGGCGGAGCGGCAGCGGCGGCGGCGGCTGCAGGTGGCGGGCCTGGCGAGGACGAGGACAGCGAGGAGGGCAATAACGCGTATGGCGACGGCGCGCCTGCTGCTGGCGAGGAGGAAGAGGAGTATTACGAAGACGAGGGCGGGGCGGCGGGAGAAGGGGAGGAAGGAGACGAGGATCTTTATGAGGAAGGGGAGGGCGACGGGGAAGTTGAAGGGGAAGCGGAAGGGGAAGCGGAAGTGGAAGGGGAAGAGGACGATGAAGACCTATACGGGGCTGGTGACGACAGCGGCGGCCCTTATTTGGGAGAGGACTCAGGAGGGGGAGCAGGCGGCGCGGGCGCAATCGCTGGCGCAGCCGCCGGCGCGGGGATCGTGGCCGGCGCAGCAGCCGTGGCGGGCGGCGCGGCAGCCGCCGTCGCGCTGGGGGACGGCGACAGGATGAGCGAAAGAAGCAGACGACGAGTGGTGGTTCCCTTACGAGGAACTCGAAGAAGCCACAGACGGATTCTCAGACAGCAACAAGCTTGGGGAGGGCGGGTTTGGGCCTGTGTACCGGGGCATATTGGCGGACGGAATGCCCGTGGCGGTGAAGGTGCTGAAGGTGGGGGGACACCAGGGGGAGCGCGAGTTCCGCGCGGAGGTGGATATAATCAGCCGCGTGCAGCACAAGCACCTGGTGACGCACCTCGGGTACTGCATCGCGAGTGCTCAGAGGTTGCTCGTTTACGAGCTTGTGCCGAATGGATCGCTGGAAGACGCCCTACATAGTGAGTGTGGTAACCCTGTTTTGTTTTGGTGAAGGTGCTGAAGGTGGGGGGACCCAGGGGGAGCGCGAGTTCCGCGCAGAGGTGGATATAATCAGCCGCGTGCAGCACAAGCACCTGGTGACGCACCTCGGGTACTGCATCGCGAGTGCTCAGAGGTTGCTCGTTTACGAGCTTGTGCCGAATGGATCGCTGGAAGACGCCCTACATAGTGAGTGTGGTAACCCTGTTTTGTTTTGGTGAAGGTGCTGAAGGTGGGGGGACACCAGGGGGAGCGCGAGTTCCGCGCGGAGGTGGATAGAATCAGCCGCGTGCAGCACAAGCACCTGGTGACGCACCTGGGCTACTGCATCGCCAGCGCGCAAAGGCTGTTGGTGTACGAGCTCGTGCCCAAGGATCGCTGGAAGACGCCTTGCATGGTGAGTGATAGACGAGGAGTTACTTGGTAACCCTATTCTGTTTCGTCACTTAGGATGGGTATTGCATCGCTAGCAAGCAGTGGCTGCTGGTGTACGAGCTTGTGCCTGATGATAGCTGGAAGGCGCCTTGCATGGTGAGTGAGTGGGGGTTACCTTGTAACTATATGCTTGAATATTCTAGAGAAGTGTTGCAGCGCTACCACGAGCAGCGCTTTGTGGTGTACGAGCTCGTGGCTTACGGGTCGCTGGAGGACGCCTGCACGGTGAATTAAGGAATGGTTGCTTACCATGTGTAGTTTTATAACGCATGTTGTTCGGTTAACGCATGCTATCTGGTAACCCTATGATGGCTGGAAACCTGGAAGGATGTTATACTCAGGCGCTCCCTCTCACCCCCTACTGCATCTCTCATTCTGTTTCTTCCCGCATTCCCAACGAAACCTGTTCGTCTGCCCTCCCCAGGCGAGGGCCGTCGCCTGCTGGCGTGGAATTTTCGCATGAAGATCGCTCTGGGCGCCGCCAAGGGCCTCGCTTACCTGCACGAGGAATGTGAGTCGCTCCGCTCTCAGTGCCCCAACTCCCCTCCCCTCCGTCTCTCTCGCTTATCCTCCCCTCTCTCATCGTTCTTTTGCTCGTTTCTCTACCAAAACCCCGCCGCCTCTCACGCTCTCCCTCTTCCCCTGCTCGCCTCTTTTATCAGCACACCTATTGCCCCTTTCCCCTCCGCGCCTCCGTTTTTCCCACCGCTACTTCGTTGACAAATTCCCTTTTGCATTTGCATTGCACCTCATGCTTCAACAAACGCCTCCCTCCCGCCCATCTGCCCCTTTCCCCTTGCCCGCCCCCTTACCACCTTCCCCCCTCCCCTCCCCAACCGCATCCATTCCCCCCTCCCCTCCCTAACCGCATCCCTTCCCCCCTCCCCTCCCCAACCGCATCCCTTCCCCCCTCTCCTCCACAACTTTCATCCCCCATTTCCCCTGGCGTCGACAGGCAACCCGCGCATCATCCACCGGGACATCAAGTCGTCCAACATACTCGAGTCGACTCAAAGCTCACCCCCCCACCTCTTCCCTCCATTCTCCCCTACCCTCCCCTGCTGCCCCCAGGCAACCCGCGCATCATCCACCGGGACATCAAGTCGTCCAACATCCTCCTCGATAAGGACTACGAGGCCAAGGTGGGTTTGCCTGAGCGCGTATAGTGTAGTTGGGCTGTGACGGCAAGGTGGGGCTGTGACGGCAAGGTGGGGCTGTGATGGCAAGGTGGGCAGTGCTGAGACGAATGCACACACACGGAAGATGCCAACGAATGGGACACATAAGCGTCATGAAGGATAGGACCCCCACCCACGGTTGAACGCCATAAAACAGCATAGGCATCAGCAATGACGTGCATTGTAACATGATGTAAGACATAACGCATATGTGTCATAACATGCAAGTGTGATTACATGCAAGTGTGATAACATGCAAGTGTGATTACATGCAAGTGTGGTAACATGCAAGTGTGATTACATGCAAGTGTGATTACATTACATGCATGTGTCATGAGCATTTGGAGCGGATTTTATTTAATGACATCCCTGCATGTCTGTCCAATCCCTTGCTGCCAGGTGGCGGATTTTGGTGCTGCCAGGCTGGCAGCAGAGGACGCCATGCCAATCATCACACGTGTAGTTGGCACTTTCGGGTGAGTGAGTCATTCATCTGAACTTCTTGGCACTTTCGGGTGAGTGAGTCATTCATCTGAACTTCTTGGCACTTTCGGGTGAGTGAGTCATTCATCTGAACTTCTTGGCACTTTCGGGTGAGTGAGTCATTCATCTGATCTTCTTGGCACTTTCCCACTACCCCTCACCTAACAACCCTCCACACCCCCCACCCCCTCCCACCTCCCTCTCCCTTCTCCCATTTCCCATCCCCCACATTCCTCCCAACTCCTTTCTGAACACCTATCTGCTCCCAGTCGTTCTGACCCGCCCTACGCCCCCACTTCTCAAGCCACAATGCACTCGTTTTCCTGACCCTCCACCTAGGCCCATTCCCGCACCACTTCCCTTTCGTTCCCTCTTTTCTTTCTGATCACCCTGCCTGCCTTAGTTCGCTCTTGCATAATTCACCTGCCCTATTTCACCCTGTCCCTGAACCTCTGTCTCTGGTGACTCTCAGGTACTTGGGCGCCAGAGAACTCTTTGACATTCACGCTTATGAGAATTCTCAGATGTCACTTTCCCTTCCTCTGTGCCTGCTTGAACCTCTTTGTGTGATCACCCCCACCCAGGTACCTGGCGCCAGAGTATGCATTGACAGGCAAGCTGACTGAGCATTCTCCGATGTCATTTTCCGTCCCTCTGTCCCTAATCCTCCTTGTGTGATCACCCAAACCCAGGTACCTGGCGCCAGAGTATGCATTGACAGGCAAGCTGACGGAGAAATCGGACGTGTTTTCGTTTGGAGTGGTGCTGCTGGAGCTTATAACGGGGAAGAGGCCCGTGGAGCAGGAGAAGCCGCAGGGCAGCGACAGCCTCGTGGAATGGGTGAGTCAGCTTATAGCGAGGACAGGCTTCCATTCCATGCCTCGGCCCCTCGTGCCATATTGGCACAGACTGAGGGCCTGTGCCTTTCCCCCTTGTCCTCCCTGTGTAGGGGCTGGTTTGAGACGTCTCAAAACAACACTTTTATCACTGTGCCTTTTCCCCTTGTCCTCCCTGTGTAGGGGCTGGTTTGAGACGTCTCACAACAACACTTTTATCACTGTGCCTTTCCCCCTTGTCCTCCCTGTGTAGGGGCTGGTTTGAGACGTCTCAAAACAACACTTTTATCACTGTGCCTTTCCCCCTTGTCCTCCCTGTGTAGGGGCTGGTTTGAAACGTCTCAAAACAACACTTTTATCACTGTGCCTTTCCCCCTTGTCCTCCCTGTGTAGGGGCTGGTTTGAGACGTCTCAAAACAACACTTTTATCACTGTGCCTTTCCCCCTTGTCCTCCCTGTGTAGGGGCTGGTTTGAGACGTCTCAAAACAACACTTCTATCACTGTGCCTTTCCCCCTTGTCTTCCCTGTATAGGGGCTGGTTTGAGACGTCTCAAAACAACACTTTTATCACTGCGCCTTTCCCCCTTGTCCTCCCTGTATATGGGCTGGACAGGTGCTGCAGGCAGAGGCAGATTGAGGGGGAGAAAAAGGGTGATACGGATAGCCCCTCTTATACTCTGCCCTCTTTCTCTCAATCCCCTCTTCCCCACCCATCGCCAGGCGCGCCCCCTGCTAGCGGATCGGGCAATGGAGGAACTGGCAGACCCTCAGCTGGACGGGTGCTTCGGGCAGCGGGAGATGGAGCGGCTAGTCACTGCAGCTGCACTCACTCTCCCTCTCTCTCAAATTTGCTTCCTCTCTCTTTTGAGTCGACTCTAAAGTCCCCTCTCTCTCAGATTTGCTTCCTCCCTCTTTCTCCCTGTTTGCCCCAGGCGCGGCCCTGCTGGCGGATCGGGCAATGGAGGAACTGGTAGACCCGGAGTTGGACGGGTGCTATGGGCAGAGGAGATGGAGTGGAAGAGACGGACTGCTTCTCTCTCTCCTCTCTCTCAATCCCCCCTTCCCCTTCCCCACCCATCGCCAGGCGCGCCCCCTGCTAGCGGATCGGGCAATGGAGGAACTGGCAGACCCGGAGCTGGATGGGTGCTACGGGCAGCGGGAGATGGAGCGGCTAGTCACTGCTGCTGCACTCTGTGTGCGCCAGTCCGCTGTGCTGCGCCCCCGCATGAGCCAGGTGAGTGGGACGCATGCTGTAATAGGGATGTCCCACAGGCTGTAGCACAGGCTGTAGCACATTCTGAAGTCTGTACGAAAGTCTGTAGTAGAGGTTATGATAGAAGGTCGGGGGAATGTAGAGTCGGCTCAGAAATTACTACTTAATATCCTTGTGTGCCCCATGTGCCACCAACCCCACCCCCTCCCCCCCCCCCCCCCCACCAGGTGGTGGCGATGATAGAGGGGCGAGGCGATGTGGAGGTGGAGGCCACAGACGACGAGTCGGCTGCCGGGTTGCGGGAGAGTGCGGAGTTTTCAGGAGGGGAGATGGGGAGTCGAGAGGACATGTACCCTGGGGAGATTGTGCAGCAGTATCCGCACAGTGCCGAGAGCAAGGGGAGCGCTGGGGTGAGTCAACCTAAGTGAGTGCGCATGGCGGGAGACGAGGGAAGGTAGGGAAGGGGTGTCTGAGCGAGAGGTCATGTACCCTGAGGAGATTGTGCAGCAGTACTCCCACAGTGCCGAGAGCAAGGAGAGCGCTGGGGTGAGTAGACATATGTGAGTGCGGATGGGGGGTGAGGAGGGGAGGTAGGCAGTGGGTGTGTGACAGACGATTCATTCGTCGGCTATAAAATCACCTTGTCAGGAGGGGAGCGGGGGAGCCGTGAGGACATGTACCCTGATGAGATCGTGCAGCAGTATCCCCACAGTGCTGAGAGCAAGGGGAGCGCTGGGGTAAGTAGCAATATGTGAGTGCGGATGAGGGAGTGCATGTGGGGGTGTGCATGTGGGGGAGTGCATGTGGGGGAGTGCATGTGGGGGAGTGCATGTTGGGGAGTGCATGTGGGGAGAATTTATGTGGGGGAGTGGAGGAGAGGTGAGGTGTGAGAGAGAGGACTTGTACCCTGACGAGATCGTGCAGCAGTATCCCACATTGCTGAGAGCAGGAGCGCTGGGGTGAGTAAACATACGTGAGTGCAGATGGGGGAGTGGAGATTGGTGAGAAATGAGTTGATAGGAGTGAGTGGTGACAGGGGTGTGGAGAGGAGAGGAGTCAGTGGAGAGGGGTGGGTGAGCAGTGAAGTGTAACGGGTGAGAAGTGAGTGTAGAGAGGGGTACGTGGAGAAGGAGGGCTGATTCAGCGGGTGTTAAGAGGTGCAAGTTAAAACAGTGACATCAATTCTGTCAGGTCTCTTCACTCTCCTTAGCTTTCTTTAACTGCTAAATACTAATTAGTGCACTCTCCTTGCATTGTCACAGCGGGTTTCCCTAACAATACCCCCTTCTCTCCACGACACTCTCACCCCAACCTCTTCTCCCTTCCCCGCCCCCAGCCCCTTCTGCCCCTGGCCCGACCCCCTGCAGGGTGGTGGGGCGCATGGCAGCGCTTGCAGCAACAGCAGAGCTCCCATCAGTCCGCACTCCTACCCCATTCACCTCCCCCATCCTCCTCTGGCCCTCACCCCACCCCACCCCACCCCACCCCACCCCACCCCACCCCACCCCACCCCACCCCCTGCAGGCCAAGGGCAGGAAGGGGCGCATGGCAGCGCTAGCAGCAGCAGCAGCAGAGCTCACACCAGGCCACACCTTCACTTCTGTCACCTCTGCTACTAGCACAGACCCACTCATTGCCAACACCTCCCCCTCCTCCCAGGGCCAGATGCAGCCTCCCCCAGATGCACCTCCCCCTCCCACACAGGTAGGGCCCTCTGGGCCCATGCCGTTGCCGCTGCCGCCCGGGCGCAAAGGGGGCGGTGGTAACGGTGGTGGGTGGAGAGGAAAGTGAGGCGAGGGGTTTTAAGATAACGGGTAAATTGGTTAGCGGTTGAAATAAGGATTTCTCTGACTCCAGTTGAAATGCTAGAGCCTTGGACGAGTGCTTCCTTGTGGAAATGCTGGTTGGACTACTGACTAGCTAGCATGCCCCTGTAAGTTATTTAGCTTGTGTTACTACCAATGGGAACTACGGTAGCTATTTGAATGTATGTGTTTTTTTCTGAATGCTGTGAATATGGTTTCCATATCTTTCAGCCCAGGAACAAAATGCTACTTGTTAAACCAAATATTTATGTGATGTTTGCAGTTGGCAGTGATAGCGGGCCTCAAACACAACGTACACTACGTCTTGATAAATCACAAAAGCAGAAACCGTCAATAGCGAAAGAACCTGGGAGGAACACAGGCGCGGTATGGATCCACTCAAGTGAACACGTGGACCCTCAAGCTTTGGCAATCTCCGCCTGTGGATCCAGCGATCATCCACGTCATATTGATTCGCGGTTCGTTCCCCTCACCCAAACCTGGTTCATCAAAACACATCTCTGACCGTCAATTCCGGCGTTGTTAGGACCATCTCAACGCGAAACCCGAATGGAACCACACTCCAATCATCGACGCAATCGTGACCCTTCGTAGATGGTTACAATTCATCTTCACTGTCCATGAAGGCGCTCGAACGAGCCGCTTAGTAGTAGTGCTTCCTGCCAGCCACGCCACACTTCCCTCATGCGCGAAGCAGATGATTCCAGCCAAGGGTCTATATTTACTTAGTTTTACTAGTAGTAACAGACTAGTCTTCGAGTGCAACGGAATCTCGGTACAATTCAGGAAAAGCTTATTTATCTTACGCTGAACTCCGTGCTCTTATATCGTCGCAGTAATTCTGTCACACCCTAGTCAGTATCGTAACTACGCCCGTATTAGTAATAGGTTCATGGATCTATTTAATTACCGCCGCCGCGTTGGAATGACGGCCGGTATGACCGTAGCGTTGACACTATCTCTGTTTGGGATATTAGTCGCCAGAACCGCGAACGCGTACTCGGCGAGCTCGCCAACGACCGTCGCATGCCCTCCGTTACATTGCGACGTTACACAGCGAGGCGTGCTTTGGAACCACCCGAATCGCGGCAATCTCAATGACGTGGAGCTCACGGGGCCCGTTCGCACGTCAGCCAAATGCAGCGAGATATGCGCCTCGACGCCCGGCTGCGACGTGTGGCTGTTCGGTCTCGTGTCAACCGGATGTACGCTGAGTTTCATGTTTGCTCATCCGTTTCGTGTGCATATTGCGTCACGCAACCGCATTTCCTGCATGCAACAAGATCTGCGCTGTTGATCGGTGTACTAATGGTCACCGTCGGGCTTTCATGCCACCCTTTTTTTTGTGTCTTGATTCCGCTTTCTGATTGGATATTTACGAAGCGCTCCTTACTCACTCTCTCCGCGGCATTCCTCATCACTACCCCCGTTACTCCCCAAATCATTGTCTGACGCTTCCCGCAGCCTATCATGAATCTCGATTCCGTCATTTTATTTTTCATTTACGAAGTGCCCCTTGCTCACTTGCTTATTTCCTGGTCACTACCCCCGTTGCTTCCCCAATCATTTTCTGACGTCCTCCGCAGCCTATTGTAAAATGTGGACGGCAGAGCAGAGCCCTTGCCGCCCCGGTGCATTCGGTGACGTCATGTACGATCCGACCCCGCGAATCGAGGGGTTCTTTGGGTTTGGCGGGAATTGCAATTCTCGCAAAACCGTCAAAATCTCAGTCGCCGACGACTCGGCGACGGCATCTGCGACCCCAAGCCGTGCGACAGCCTCGCCGACACAGGGGGGCCTACTCGGCGGCGAGAGCTCTGCGAATGGCGGAGAAATCCTCGATGTTAATGTTGCGGTGGGCGTGACGGCGGAGGCACCTGTTAAGGGTTCGGACCCCCGGTCGCTTGAAATCTCCCCCGCAATGGCCGGCGGACTCTCGGTGCAATCAGGGGAAGAGGGGGAGCCGCAGCTTGTGGAGGCGGCAGTTGCGGTGCGGTTGCGCGGACAGAAGCAGTCGGACCTGGCAGTTCCGGGGTTTGTCGTTGCAGGGACGGATGGTTCAACTGAGCCGGTAAATGCGCGCGGACCGCGGAATGCTGGAGGGGAGAACGGTTCTGCTGCGGTATCGGCGCAGGCTGCGCCAGACAGGGCAGTCCGGGGAGCGGATGGGGGAGTGGCGCTGACAGCATCCGCAGCGGGAGTGGCGGGAGTTGCGGATGCTCTGGAGCGGCAGCAAGGTAGGGCCTTGGAGCAATATATGTGATGCCGCGGTGACGGGATGAGTTTTGAGTGTGACTCAGAAATCAGCGGGAGTGGTGGGAGAGGAGGACGCGCTGTAGCGGCAGCAAGGTAGGGCCTTGGACCGAAGGATGGGATGCGGTGAAGGGATAGCAGATAATCAAGTGGCAGGATCAGAGTTTTCTCAGAGCACCCGCAGGACTCAAGGGTCAGGACACACAGAAGCAGTATTGCCATGCTGCGGGCGCAGTATCAGCAGCAGGGTTACCGTGCCTCCCCTCCTTCTCTTCCCCATTCCGTCTCTTCCTCGTTTTCCTTTCACCGCCCCTTACTTCGCTGTCCGCTTTTCTTGTGATTTTGTCCCACTGTCCCCCATTCTCACCACACCAGGCCCCACTGCCCAGCGCCCTGATTTTTGCTGGAACTGGCCGCGCACGGGCTTGTTCTATGGCCTCTGACGTCCCAGCCCTGCTTATCACTATGTCTCCCATTGTTGACTATCCCCCACTCTCCTCACACCAGGGCCCACAGCGCAGTGCCCTGATTTCCGCTGCAACTGGCCGCGCACGGGGCTCTTCTTTGACCGCCCTCACCAAGACCTTCATGCATCGCTGCCCACTTTCTCTCCCACTATCTCCCACTCGCCAGGTCCCACGGCAGTGTCCCGACTTTCGCTGCAACTGGCCGCACACGGGGTTCTTCTTTGACCGCCCGGGCAAGGGCCGCCAGGAGCCCCAACACTGTCCCACCTTCCTCGTGACTATCCCCCACTCTCTTCACACCAGGCCCCACGGCCCAGTGTCCTGATTTCCGCTGCAACTGGCCGCGCACGGGGTTCTTCTTTGACCGCCCGGGGAAGGGCCATCAGGCGGTGATCGTGACGCCCTACACCAACCAGCCGTTCGAGTGCTGGCGCATCTGCCGCCGCACTGAGCACTGCGCGTTCTGGATGTTCGAGATGCAGGCGATCCAAGGTAGGGAATGGCGGAAGGGCGGACATTGGGGCATTGGGAAGAAGCGAATAAGGATGGTGGATTGTTATCGGTACATGAGGAGGAGATAGGGGTCCAATACCGTGATTCTGCAGAAGTTCCTTCTTGCGAGGTCAGCTCATTTATTTGTGGTTTTATCATTTCCATCCACTCCTATCCTATCCCAGGCCGATGCAAGCTTTGGAGGAAGGAGCAGATCCCATGCGAGCCAGCAGACCCTGCAGACGTCACCTCCACCACATACCAACAAAGGGCAGATGGGCTGTTTGTGGTGGGCGGTAACTGCGAAGGAGGTATTGAGACCATTGCTAAGACCACCGCGAGTTGAAGAATGCTGATGGGAAAAGGCACCAGTGATCCAAAGTGGGTTTCATAAATCCCACAATAAATGCACTCGTGCATTCTGCAGAATGAATTCTGCATAGAATAAGGTGGACTCTACCATAGTTAAGTCCTCGATTTGTGTTCTCTCTCTGTCTCCCTTTTCCTATATATTCAACCTTTTTTAACACCTAGGAAAGATAATATGTCCGCCTAGTTGTGCATAACGCACCAGGCATACGCGATAACGCTGTTGACTGATTTCAAATGGTCGTCCACATTCCCCATTCTGCCTGCCCTACCCTAGCGTTGCCAAATTACAATGTCAACGACAGTCAACATTGCCTGCCCTACATTACAGCCAGCCCAAATTGGACCCACCCAGCCAACCAAACTGAACCCACCACCGCCCCATCGAACACGTCGCGATGCGAGTCCAATGCGCGGTCCGTAGCGAATGGTGAGATAAAATGCAAATTTCTCCTCATCCTCAGCATCGCAACTTCCAGCGCTCCCACAATCACTGCTCTCTGCCAACGTTTGCTGCTTTCAAGCCCAACTAGAGATTCCAGACTTCCATTCCTCCTCAATCGTAGCGGAACGCCCAAAGCAAGCTCTTCGCGATGGCTTCTTTTTTCCCTCGCGCTGCGTTCGCAGTCCTCTTCGCTGTTGCCCTGGGAGGTGAGGAAACAGATCCTGAAAATCACCTCCATCCATTTTGCTGCTTCCTCACGCATCCCTCCCAGCCAAATCGGGCTGTGTTGAGCAACGTGCTGAGTACATAATTTCTCTGATGCGCTTAAAGCCCTATCGTTGCCTTCGCGTTATCCCAAATGGCTTGAGCTCCCCTCCCTCATGATGCCTCCACCTTTTTGTGCCCCCTTTGCAGCTCTTCTCCCCTCTTCCGCCCGCGCTGCTCGTGCTGGTCTTGGCGTGCGCTCCAAGGTTCTGGGTAAGCTACAGTAGAGATTTTCCCCTTCTCGGCACGCTCTGCCTGTGCATCCTCCATTTTTTTTATCCAACTACACTACACACATTCTCCCTGTAAGATGCAAATGCAGTCGGCATGTGCAGGTCCTTTTTATGTTAGAATGTGACAGGTGTTCACGTTCCCTCTCCTCTCACTCCCACTCCTTCCGCAGCATCTCTCCAGGGGGGCCTGACCACGTGTGCTGCACTCAATGCCCACGTTGGTGCTGACATCATCGGAGCCAATGTCGACGGCACAGCTGACATCAGCATTCTCCGCAGGTACACCAATTTTCCTCAATACAGAAACATTGGCACAAAAGCAATACCGGTACCACATCTAGCTTTTTGTAAACGTATATCCTTTCCACACATAAGCCCTACCTGTTGCATTACCAGGGCGTCCCATCCAAACTTACTCTCTACCCCCTCATACCATACTCCTATCTCCCTATTATCTGCCAGGGGAGCATCCGTGTATCTGTCCTACAAGATCACAGCTCAGGGCTTGACTCAGCGCCCATCCTCTTCCCCTGCCATCGTCGCCCGTAACCCCTGCTCTTCCCCCGCAACCTCCTCCTCCTCCACTTCTTCCTCCACCTCATCCTCACCTGCCGTTACCACATCTGGCTCCCTATCCGGAGACGGATCACTGCATGCCTCCCTCTCTCCCTCCACAGGAGCCACCGGCTCCGGCTCTCTCACCACCACCACCACCACCAACCTCCTCAACTCCTCCCTCTCTGCCTCCACCACTGCTGATGCCTCCCTCTCCCCCACCACCGGCCTTACCACCTCCAACTCTCTCTCCGCCTCCGCCTCTCTCCCCAACTCCTCCCTCTCTGCGTCCACAACTGCTGGGGCCGGCACCGCTCTTAACCCAGACGGATCGCTCTCCACCGCGGGGGGTCTCTCAGCCTCCACCAGCCTTCTCAACACCGGAGCTACAGCAGCCGGCAGCACTGACGCCTCCCTCCCCAAAGCCACTGCTTCAGGCTCAGGATTTGTCGCAGCCTCTACTGCTCTCCTCAACACTTCGGCCACCGCCAGCGGTGGTGCCCATGCATCACTCCCCAACGCCACTCTCTCTGGCTCCAGCTCTCTCTCTGCCTCCACCGGTCTGCTCAACACATCTGCTCGGGCCGGCGCTGGTGCAACCGTCTCCCTTCCCAATGGCACAGTCTCTGGATCCGGTTCTCTTGCTGCTTCCTCCGGTCTGCTCAACATGTCTGCTGACGTTGGTGCCGGTGTCAACGCAGGCTCGGGAGGCGTCCAAGCCAACCTCGGAGGCTCCACGAACCTTGACCTCAACCCCGCTGGCGTTATCTCAGGAATTGGTGGGGTTGTCTCTGGCGCAGGTGGAGCAGTAGGGAGCGTGGTTGGTTCGGCAGGGAAGGCTGCAGGCTCGGTGGTAGGCTCCGTGGGCAACGTTGCAGGTTCGGTGATTGGCACTGTGGGCAAGGTGGCCGGCTCGGCAGGGAAAGCGGCAGGTTCGGCTCTTGGCTCGGTGCCTTCGATTCTGTCTCCCCTGGTAGTCCTTCCTGGTGCTTGGGTGAAGGCTGCAGTTGATGCCAACGTTGGAGTCAACATTGGTGCTGCTGGTGCTGCTGGTGCTGCCGGTGCTGCCGGTGCTGCCGGTGCTGCTGGTGCTGCTGGTGCTGCTGGTGCTGCTGCAGCAAGTGTGTATGCGATGGTGGGAGAGACTCGCCTCTCTGCTGACCTTGCCTCGTCCCTCCTCGCTCGCATCTCCGCCCGCTCCTCCTCCGCTTCCGCTCCTCTCCCCCTCTTCCTCTACCTCAACGCACAGCAGAATATTGTTGCCTTCCTGGAGTAGTCTCATCGCCGCGGCACTGCCAACCCAGCAATGGATCAGGGCTATGCAAGATGGGGGTTGCTGGGGTAGCGGAAGCGGGAGAGGGATACCGGCTGCGAGCTCATTCAACTTGATGGAAGGTGCTTTGAGTCAGGTCAGGTGGCTGCTGCAGAGGGAGGTGATGTCCGCTGCAGTGTGACTGGCGCAGGATTTAGTAGCACACGGTTGACTCTTAGGCACGTTGTATCAAGTTGTATGTACTTTGGATAATCAATGGGAATGGGAGACGATACCGCTGCAAATCACTGGCCTTGATTCCGGTCTGTCAGTCCCCTGTCACAGGCACTACCCCATGTCGTATCCAAAATCGTATCCCATGTTGCCACCCCCACCACTTTCAGCACTGTTACCACCACCAGCCGCTACAACCGCTGCACCGCCGCTACCAGCACTAGCAGCGGGGCTAGCTGAGCCTTCTCGCCGCACAAACCCTCCCTGGATCCACGTGAACCCACCCCCTCCACCACCCCCGCTGCCAAGACGAGGCAAGGTAGCACCAGTTGCACGTGCATCCTCACTGCCCACTCTAGTTAGACGTTGACCAGCAGCTGTAACGGCAGCATCAACGTTACTGGCAGCACCAGCAGGACCAAGGCCAGCAGCAGCAGCAGCAGCAGCATTGGTAAGAGCGTCTGCAGCTGCTGCTGCACTAAGGCTGAACCCCGAACCTGCACGCGCAACACCCGGCTTGGCTCCGGCTCCACCCGGACCTGTCGCTGCCGGACTTAACCCTCCGGCTCGGAGCGACCTGAGCTTGCCGCTGACACTCTCAGCTGCAGAAACGCGCAGGCCAAATGCAGCGAATCCAGACGGAGAGACGGGAGGGTGGCCTGGTGGTTTGAGAGTGCTGGAGGATTGGTGTAGCTTTTGATATTCCTCTGTCCGCCTTGTGTTCACAAACACAGGCCCCCCTGATGCTGCCTCACTCCCTCCTCCTCCACCTCCTCCCCTCCCTCCTTGGCCCCCTCCTCCTCCTCCCCTTCCTCTTCCTGCTTCTACCGTTCCTGATCTTAACGCCCCAAGCCTGCCACCTCCTGACCCTCGGCCCACACCACCAAAGCCCGACCCGAACGCCCCGAATCCCCTCGCCCCCCCTCCTCCTCCTCTTACCCCTCCTTCCCCTCCCACTCCTCCCTCCAACACACTCTCAAGACCCTCTGGCCCGGCACCCCTGACAGGTGGGGAGGGAGGAGCGGGCGAGAGAGAGGACGCCCCTCCAAAGCTCCGAGTGGCAGAGGAGCGAGAGTGAGAGTGAGAGGGGGGGTGGACGGAGAGAGCGTGCGGGTTCTGTTGGCCGTGGAGGGAAGAGTGTGGGGCGAACAGTGCACTCCCTGCTGTTGCTCGCTGCTGGTCGCGGTGGGATTGGATCTCCAGCTCATGCTGCTGGAGGGCTTGATGTGCCTGCTGGTCGTGGCTGCCGCTGCTCCCTGCATCACTCGCTGCTGCCACTGCTGCTCCCCCTCCCCCTCTTCCTCCTCCTCCTCTTCCTCCGCCTCCACCTCTCTCTGCCAGCAAAGCAGACCAAGCCGCCACGTCATTTTCAATCGCAGCCACTCGCAGTGCTGAGCTGTCCCGTGCCATTCCCTCCCCTACCATCCCACCCGCTGCTGCTGCTGCTCCTTCTCCTGCGCCTGCTGCTGCTCCTGTGTGAGCAATAGCGGGTCTGCTCCTGCTCTTCCAGCTCTGCATGGCCACTCGCCCCCTCTCAAATCGACGCCTCGCCGCCTCTGCTTCCGCTACAGCTGCTGCTAAAGCTGCTGCATCGACACCAGCATCAACACTAGCGTCGGCATCGGCATTTCCCCCACCAGCAGCAGAATAATCAGAGTCTCTAGGGGGTTCTGAGTCAGAAGGAGGAGGTTCGGCTGAGGTGCTGGTTTGCAGCTGCCACTGCTGCTGCAGCCGCTGCTGCTGCTGCAGCCACTCTTGCTGGCGCTCGCGCTCCCGCTGCTTCCACTCCTCCTGCTCCTGCTGTTGCGTCCCCTGCTGCTGCTGCTGCTGCCCGATTTGACTCCCTTCCCTAGAAGCAGGCGCCTGAGCCAACAGCAGAGGCTCGCCTTGACTGGCACTACCTGAAACAGACCCACCACCTGGGAATTCACCTGACACAGGGAGAGAAAGGGGATTCTCCTGAACACCACCACCACCAGCACCAGCACCGCCAGGAGCAGCAGTGGGGGGCCGCAACCACCGGTTGAGCCAAATCGAAGCAACATCCCCACTCACCTCAGGTCTCTTGGGTCTCAACCCAAACGGACCGAACCCCCCACCACCCATGCTCATCCTCACTCCACCTCCCACATACCCCCCTACTCCTGCCCCTACTGCATCCCCCCCAGCCCCCCCCCTCACACTGAACCTCTGCTGCCCGCCTGTGTTCTCTGCGCCCATGCCTGCATTCCCCCCTCTTGTGCCCCCATTCCCCCCCGCGCTTATCTGCAGGCTGCTGGAAGGGTCCTGGTACCGGCTGATCTCGCCGCTTGCTGCTGGGGGAGGGGCATCAGGAACGGCCGCTTCCTCTGCTGCCGCCCTTGCTGCTGCCGCTGCTGCAGCCGCCGCCGCCGCCGCTGCTGCTGCTGCTGCTGTTGCTGCTTCTGCTGCTGCAAAGTCTCTGTTGCTCTGAGACAAAAACCTCTGGCCTACTTCTCTTCGCATCCCACCACCTCTTCCCATCCCACCGCCTCCTCCTCCCACCTCTCTCCCCCCTGTCGAAGGCACCATGGCATAATCATTCAATACTGACCGCTCCTCCCCTCTCAACCCCCCATCCCTACTCACTCCCCCAAAATCTCCCACAGACTCCCCCCCAAGCCTCCTTTCCCCCCGCCATACCACTTCCTCCCCCTGCCCTTCCGCCCCTCGTCCCCCTCCGCCCCCTTCTCTGCTCTCACTAGACACATAGCCAGGCGGCAAAGGGGGAGGGGCGGAGTTGCTACTATTGCTCTGCGCCTCCCATTCGCTATTGCCACCTGCAGCTACAGGAACAGTGGCCGTCGCTACAGGGACCGTGCCCACGTGTTCCCAAGCCTGCCGTGCTGCTGCGGCAGCCGCAGCTGCGGCCCAATCCGCAGCTTCGCCCGAGGCTGTGGAGGGAGGTTCGGGAAGGGCAGAAACTGACGCGGATCCGAAGAATGCTGAGTCACCGTAGCCCAGGCTCGGCCCAGGCTGAGCTCCTACTCTCTCATACAACCCAACCCCTATCCTTCCTCTTACTCCTCCTCCTCCTCCTCCTCCTCTCGCTCCCCTGCCCCCACCACCACCAACAGCACCTGATGGGCTGCCGGCAGCAGCAGCAGCGGCGGCAGCTTCAGCGGCAGCAGCAAAAGCAGGATCACCAACACCAGCACCGGCACTACCTGCTGTCGCGTCAACCCCCCCACCGCTATCCCGGAACGACCCTGCGCCTTGCTCCTCCTGCTGTACGCGATAGTGCGTCTGAGAGAGCAGCGATCGGTACATGCCAAACAGATTGCTGACAGGCTGAGCATCGGCGCCTGAGGGAAACGGAAACTGGCTGCCGGTGCGATCAGTGTGACCATGGTCAGAGGGTCGATTGTCAGTTTGCTGGTTGTCAGTGAGTCTACTGTTGCGTAGCCGATACGTCTCCTCGTCCCACTCCCTCTCTCCCCCTGGTCCCGTTCGCCCGCCTTCCCCCCTCTCCTCCCCCACACCAACATCCCCATCCCTCTCCTCTTCTCCTTCCTCTCCTTCTCCTTCTCCTCCATCCTCCTCGCCTGCTTCGTCGTCTTCTTCCCCCATCTCCTGGTCAAACTGAGGGTTAACTCGCCTTCTAGCCCCATCCAGAGGGTATTTCTGTCTCAGCCCCTCATATGCATCTGAAGGTTCTCTGTTGGCATACCCTGTTGGAGCACCTGAGTAATCACCTGAGAGAGGTCCACGCTCTGCTCCTTCACCTGTGCTCCACCCCCCTAGAGGAACACTCTTACTGTTTTCCGCCTGCCCTTCAGCCTGTCCCTCCGTCTGATCCTCCCGCACAAACCCGCCGTCCCCTCCGCGCCATTTTCCACCGTTCTGGTTGCGCGGGTTCTCCTGTTGGCGGAACTCGCCATAAAACTGCGCCTGATAGAGGCCCGCGGGTTGCGGACCTCCGCTTCCGCCAAAGCTTCCGCCAAACCCCTGCGCGGGATATGCGCCTGTATTATTGCGCCGACTCGGCACGGCTTCCCCATCTGCGGGCCTCGTTTCCGCCCCCCAACCCCCCTCCCCTTCAGCCCCTCCGCCTATTCTGCGCGCAGCCTCCGCGTTCCCCGCGGGCCCCTCCCCCGAGTCTTCCTGCCTTGCGCCGAGCGCGCATTTATTGTCAAAGGAGAATCTAAGCGACGACGGTTGACGCGCGTTTGTTGCGTAGTGGGGGAGGTGAGACTGGCGCGGGTTGTGTTCCGAGAATGGGGTAGGCTCGGAGCTCATATCGCCGCCTGTGCTGCCGTTGCGCGAGGGCGGGTGGCGGAAGGACCGGGGGGATTCTCCCGGCGGCATGGGGAAAGAGGCGGAGTGGAAAGGAAAATTGTTCGTGTGAGGTGCGCCCGACTCCATGTCCGCGTTGTGCGAACAATCGATATTAGAGAAGTATTGCGCCGATATAAGTGAAATGAGAAGCTAATGTTAGAAGTTACTCAAGCCACGGAACTACAGGAGAATTCCGAGGTGGAAGTCGCTCCTACTCTACCACGTCGTAACTTAACGAGACGACCGCTCTAACAGGTAGAAACTGTTACAGGAGTCATCAGCTGTGAAGTGTCAGGTGTTAGGAAGTAAGGTCAGTTGTAACCGAGAAATGCGCGTCGTCGTTAGATGGGCGCAGCAAACCCTAATCGATCTGGCCAGGTACAGGAGGAGGCTGCACAAGGAAAACCTGAAGTCAGTGCAAGTCGGGCCGGGCTTAGCAGCCTGAAACAGCACGCCGCAATCCCTAAACTACGCGGAAATAACATGGGTACATTTGCATGTACAGTGCTGCTATTTGATACCGGTAGTGCCGCGAAAAGACGTTATGAAAATGTGTTGACTCAAATCTTTTATACAAACAGAAACATTCTACAATACCTTGAGCCAAATTGCTAACAGAAACAAAAACAAAGTAGCCATGGCCAGGCATCATGATTGCCGTGTAGTACACCCCCCTACCATAAATACAAAGCTGTAGTGGGGCAATGCCGACAAGCAATCATGATGGCTGGCCACAGTGTGGCATAGGAGGCAAGAGATCAGTCAGACCAAAACCTCAGGTCAGGAAACCCTATACTCGTGTCGTGGTGTTGCTTCAATGGAATTATTCAGCTCCAGAGGTCGAACCCAACTGCTGCTGGTGACAACCCCCATGGCGACACATTCACCAGCTCCGCCTCACCCTCACACACCTCCTGCGCCGACGACAACCCAGCAGGGCAAGCGACAGCCTCAGGGACACCGACCCCTTGGGATTGTCGCCCGGCTGCAGCACCCTGAGTATGTGCCAGCGCCCAGAGAATAGCCTCCTGAGCACCCTCAGGTGTGCCGTCTAGCTGGCCGTCAGATCTGCCGGAATCCGTCAGAGAAGTGAGCCTGGCCGGCAAGTGCTCATCCAGAAGGTTCATGATGTCTGTGAGCATGTCCACCTGCGCCTGGCATGCCAGCACAGAATCAGCACTGGCTGGGAGGCTGTGGCTCTCATCTGTAGGCAGTGTGGAGACCTGATGATGATCACCATCTAGCACATCCGAGGTCTCAGCAGAAAGGGAGTGTCCGGCAGACGACAAATCGCTGGCGCTGCTGCTGCTGCTGCTGGAAGGGCTTCTGGGAGACTCGGGATCTGCATCACTCCCTCCGGCCGATGGGTGCACAGGAATTGACAGTTCCCAAGGAGCGGATTGACCCAGGGGGACACGTGGCTTCTCAGGAGCACTCGGCTTCAAGTCAAGTAGCATTTTGGTGTCCAGGTATGGGATCGTCTGCGCCTCCTCCTTCACCACTGCAACCTTCAATTTCCCGCCCTCAAACTCCCACGCAATCTCGATTCCGGGACGACTGCTACCGACATTACTAGCACCGCAATCATCAATGTTTGACGAGTTTAGCCCTCCGAGAAGTGGATCGGACACTCCCACAGCATTACTCGGTTGGAACTGAGTCGTCGGGGCCGCTGCGTTTACGCTCTGATCCAGCCATGGCTGGAGGCTGATAGCAGGCATCTCCTGCTTGGGAGTGAGTGCTGAGGGCGTGTGGAGTGTGAAGCCTGTGGTTGGTGCCCTTGCAGGGTCCCCAACTCCCCCTCCTTGCTGCTGCTGTGATTGCTGACTCTGCTGCATCTGCTGCTGTGTGTGCTGCTGTATCTGCTGCTGCAGGGGCCGCTGCTGCTGCGTCTGCTGCGTCTGTTGCGGCTGCTCCATCCCGCCGTCAACGCCAGTGGGACCAAGCAACACCATCTGCTGCCCCCTGTCACCGGAGATCACTCCAAGCGGCGCCACTGACGCCGCAGGGGGACACTCCGCCACAACCACGCTGCCGCCCACGGCCTCGAGACGAACCACGTCGCTCGAGAAACTCGCAGGCAGGTCGCACGCGCCCTCGCGCGCGTCGCTCCCGTCGTCCGCGGCGTCGCCTGCGACGACGAGGCGCTCGCCCCCTGCGACATCTGCAGCGCACAGGGCTCTGCTTTCGCGCACGGTGCGGATCAGCGCTTCCGCAATGGCGCGCGGAACGGCGACGGGATGCGCCTCGTCGGGGAAGTTGAGCTTTCCGCAGGCGGCGCCTCCGCGGCCTCCCCCTATTATCCGCGCCGCCATATCATACACTCGCGCTGCTTCCTCCGCGGTTTCGTACGATCCCAGCCACACGCGAATCTTCGTGCGAGGGTCGCGAATCTCAGTTACCCACTTGCCCCATTTTCGCTGTCGCACGCCCTTGTAACGACGATTGCGGTTGCATTGCGCTCCACCCCTGGGAAATGCTAGCTTCGGGTGCGGCGAGGGAATGCCGTCGTCTTCCTCACCGTCTCTTTCGAGCACGAGAACAGGGGGCGTGTCGCAACCGCTGCCAATAGCGAGTGCGCGACTGTCTCGGAAGGCAGTACTAGGCGATGTGCGATGCGACCCGCTGATATTACGCGCACATGGTCGTTTCATTAGCGGTGACTCCGAATCGAAGGACGTCTCGCGCGCGAGCAGCGACGGGCTGGATGCTGCGGATGGAGGCGTGGAGGGGAACGGTGATGTGGAAAGGAGCGGTGACGTGGAAGGAAAGGGAGACTTGGAAAGGAGTGGTGGAGACGTGGAAAGGAGGGGTGACGAATGGTTCGTTCTGCCTAAAAGCTCGGCGAGCTTTCGTTTAGGAGAGAGTAGTGGCGGAGGGCGGGTCGACGTTCCAAGGGAGTTGGGAGGAGATAGTGAGAGACTCATATCAGAGCATATGCCCAAGAATGCAGGTAGTATAGTAGTGGTACTACTAGGGTAGTCGATTGGTGGAAAGGGTAGCGTCCTCCTTTATAATTTTGCGTGGAGTAGACAAATAGACGCGCTCTGCAAGGTCAGACTAGTCGAGAAACTTCGCGAATATGCTAGGAGAATCGAGGATTGCTCTGCTGGCAAATATCAGTAGCGAAAGTAGCGGATTTTTTTATGAACAATTTACAACCCAGCTCCCCTATTTATGGATTTCTCTCTCTGGCTCGGGCAGAGCTGGGGGACGGATTTCAAGTTTCATTCCCCCCTGGGCGCAGCTGGATGACGCACGCGCAGCTGCAGCAGAAGGGGGGGTGACTGTCCAGTCAGGGGAGCTAGTACAGTAACGGGTGGGCCCCGAGCAATTTCGCTCCCTTGCGATTGGGGGTCGTGCGGTGCGCGGTGCGTGCAACGCGCCATCCGGTGATCCGACGGTGACGCGCGGGGTCCTAGGATGGATGGATCTTGTCGTTTTTTCCCAAAATGGATGTCGTGATTCGCGAGCCCCGCCACAGACGACAAACGTGACGACAACGACACATTTCGCTCGCAGCCCTTGAAGGGCAGCATCAACGAAGGTGACGCGAAGGTATGCACAAATTTCACAAGCGTTGACTGCGAGACTGCGAACACAAAGGCGACAAGTAGTGTTACATCAGTCAAAACATACACAAACAATCTATATTCAATACATATGCTGCTAAGGGCCTTTGCGACGCACTACATGGCCAAAAGGCGTGGCCCCACCTTTACAGTGCCCGCCAACAAGGTATTCTCTATCTGGCCAGGGCCGGTAGCGTGCAGTTGTAGGGTCACTGGGGTCCGCAGGCTTGCAGGGGTCTTGCTGCTCACTCCACATTGTACAACGACCTGACAAAATAAACCCAGTGAGAAAAAAATACAAAACACAAAAACAAGCAACGAAGGATGCAATGTGGTTTAATATAAGAGAAGAGGTACCGAAGAACATTAATTCATGTTATTCCTGACCTTCTGGCTTCTCCCGATGATAACTCCAAAACGCACAGCCCTCGGTCTTCCGGCAGATGATCCAGCAGCTATGGGCACGGTTGGCCGGGCCAGTTGTGTTCTCCCCCAGATGGCCCTTCCCCTCATGGTCAAAGAAGATACCTTTGATTGCCACATTGCACATGAGATCGGGGCATGCGGCTGTGGCATTGGGGTCTGGCAGATAGGAGGGCACAGGGATAGGCACAAGGGTTGGCACACATAGAACGGGGCAAGAAACAGGTCAAGCTTGTGATGGGGAATGAATGTGGCAATCAGCTAGCAATCACTGCAGTGCTTTACAAAAAGCGCATTAACAGGCACATTCAGACACGCATGCCATATCCAACACCTGTTTTCACCCCAGCCGTTCCTTCCACTGTCAGCATTGGTAGCCTCCCTCCTGCCCCCTGTGCGTGCGCCTGCGGCACCAGCTGCTGTGCTTCCAGCTCCTGCTGCTTCCCCTCATACCCCTGCTGCCGCGTCCGCCCATCCCTTCCCCCATTTGCCACACTCCCATTCCCACCCCTCCCTCCTGCCACCGCTGTAGCATTCCCCCCGGCGCCCCCCTGCCCTGCTGCGGTGCTCTCTGTGCCTCGGCCCCGCTTGCTGCGGTTGCACCCGCCCCCGAAGCCGAACACGCCCTTCCAGGGGGGCGTGGGGTTGTAGTGGATGGGGTTGGCGCCGTCTGACGGGTCTGCCAGGCATGGGCTCTGCTCCTCCCGCCACATGCGACAAAAAGCTGGAGGGTGGGGTGGGGGGTTGGGTTGGGAGGGTGAGGCGTTGGGGGGGGGGATGTAGTGGATGGGGTTGGCACCATCTGACGGGTCAACCAGGTAAGGGCTCTGATCCTCCCGCCACATGCAGCAGAAGGCTGGACGGGAGAAGGATGAAAGGGGAGCAGGGAAAAGAGGTGTGTGGAGCTGATTTGGGGGTGTCAGGGTTGGTCAGGCATGGGCTATGCTCCTCCTGTCTCCCGTCCTTGTTTTGCAGACGTTGAACTGTTATCCAATGCAGTGCGAGCTAGTCTGAACGGCGCAGAGGGTGCCAAGAAAGGGTGGCTGCGTGAAGATTCAGGGACAGTAACGAGAAATATGGCAGGCATGATTCATCAGGGAGCCGTTATCCGGGTGTTTCACCAGGTGACTTTTGAGTCAGAGGGTGCCAAGAAAGGGTGGCTGCGTGGAGATTCAGGGACAGTGAAAAATATGCAGGCATGATTCACCAGGGAGCCGTTGTCGGGGTGTTTCACCAGTGTGTTTGTGTTTGACCTAGGTGAATCCTCCTTACCTCCTTCCTCCACCACTCTCAGCTGCCAGATGAAGCACTCCGGCGTGAGCTATCAGTCGACTCAACATTCACCTTGTATGGTGTTTCACCAGATGGTTCGACCTAGATGGATCCTCACCTCCTTCCTCCACCACTCTCAGCTGCCAGATGTAGCACTCCGGCGTGGCGGCGCACAGCATCGCGCACGCCTGAAATTTCTGCGTCTCGTCGTTAATCTCCTGCTCGTCCAGGTTACCCAACGCGTCGTGGTCCCAGATGTACCCTCGCCGCATCATTCCGCATTGTAACGACGGACATTCGTGCGCGAATAACGGCGGCGCGAACAGGGGGAGGAGGAGGAGAAGGGTTAGATAGAAAGCAGACGACGAAACAGAAAAAATGCGCATGGTGCGGTGGTGAAACCTCAGTGAAGGTAAAAAAGGAAATGGTAAGGCAGAAGGAAATGCCAACAGAACAAGTACAAGATTGGGGGAAATGCAGGCCCAGTTTTACATCAAGGTTGGGAACAACAAACCTCGCCAACGGGAGTCCTGCTGGTGTTTTCTCCTGAGCGTTCGCCTTTGCCGAAACAAATATGTTTTGACGAAATAATCGTCCCAGGCTACTCTGCTTCGTTGATACCGCGAAAGTGCAAAACACAGTTTGAACAGCCCACTTGGGAGCTGAGTGAATGGACGAACTCAATGCGACGAAATCCTGCTTGTTACAACAGTCGTCGACGAAAGTGTCAGGCGACCTGATGAAAATCCCTGTGTTCAGAGTTCCTGCGCAACCTTCCCTTGAGGTCCAAAAAAAGTCAGAAATTAGAGCTCTCAACAATATTTGATGAAGACGGCAGGACTCTGTATGCATTCAGTTAGGGCGATATGAGTTAGGCATTCTCAAGGCCGAATGCTGAGGCATGACATTAGTGACTCTTTGCAGAATCTGAGTGCAATAAATAGTTGGGTTATTATGGGAGTTGAGTCAGAGACGTCTTTATTTGAATTCAGGAGAACCAAGGGTGGATTGTGATGATTAGAGTGCATAGGACGACTCCAATAGGTCGCAGTTATACAATTTCTATAGATTCAGGAGCATTTGATTAGGTTTCCAGTTTTTTTTTTAATGAAAGACGCTGCACTAGCAGCAAGACGTTGTGCGTCGTTGTTGGGATCTCGACCTAGGTTCTTTCATCGCAGCTCCCAGCGTCCTGTGTTCTCCTCATTACTTCCTATCTTATTGGGTTACACCACGTGGTTTAGTGATCGATTGCTGGAGTACCGTCTGAATTCATCGTAAGACCATTTGTTTCCAGTAGAATACCGCTTAGTTCATTAGACCGCTTGGCCTCGAGATAAGACTGCTCAGCCTCGTTATAACACCGCTTACCTTCATCTGACCGCTTAGCTTCAATTGACCGTTAAGCTTTTCTTCGCATGCGACGAAATGGCGGTGGAGTCGTTGGCGACGCTGTGCGTGTTGTCGCTGATCGACCATCGCGACCTGCTGGGCGACCTCGGCGACATGGACCTGTCGTTGCTGCGACCCGTGTTCGAACACTGCACGGCGGATCAACTGGACCGGATTGAGAACGAAAATAAGGTCAATCTCAAAAGAGCAGTTTGCGTCCTGCAGCCCTCCCTCATCTGCGTAGTACCCTGTTCGAGCGATGTAGCGCGGATTCATTGCCTATTTATGATTGAACTATAATCAGGTTGAAATGCATTTGCCAGCACTGGACTCAGTTAAGATGTTATCCCTGTACCGTTTTAACGACAGAACTGCTATCACTTTCCCTGCTTGTTTCCGGTTTCTTGTTCAGGATCGTGACTTCACCCCTTTCACAGACGACCTCTGGGAGCGGTGCTACGAACGCAGGTGTGCTCGCCTCGACTCTCCGCCTTTTTTCCCCCTCACCTTCCCGTCCTTCTTCCTAGACGTCTCAAAAGTCACCCCTTTCACAGACGACCTCTGGGAGTGGTGCTACGAACGCAGGTGTGCGCGCCTAGACTCTCCGCCTTTTTTCCTCCTCCCCGTCCTTCGCTTTCGTGCATTTCCATGTTCTCCCCGGCCTGACAATGTCCAATCAACCATGAGCCATCACCCATCAACCATCACCTATTTCTCATCACCCATGCATGACCCATCAACCATGACCCATGATGCAGGTACGGCATTGATGGCGTGGAGCAGGTTCAGGACAGAATGAAGCAAGCAAAAGTACTCTACACGTGGCGCCAGCTGTACCATGTAAGCTCCAGGCCTCAGAAACTTTGGTTTGGTTCTGGGCGCAGGTCATGGGCATGAAAACTCTGCTGCTTTCCCACAATTTTCCACACGCACGCTTTGGAACCACTGAAACCTCTCCCTCCCCGCTGCACTTCATCTCATTCCATCCCTCTTCCCTCTGCCGTCCACACATCAGGCTCGGCAGCAGGCAGATGATCGCACGCAGCAGAAGTGTGTTTCGCGGTTGAAAGAGCTTTATCACCGGGCAGAGGAAGGTACGAAGGTTTGGGTAAACGCGGATGCGGGTGAGACGCCGTTAAACAAGCTGAGCAGTGCTTTCAGGGATTAGAGATTGCTCGGCAAGACTCAAACGGCATCAGATAGTTTTAAACCACGTTAGATGAGATTTCTCCTGTTTAACCAGCCTTCATTCAGCATCTGTTTTTTGCTCCTTCCGGCTAACAGGTTTTCCTTTGACCATGGGTTTGCTTGCCGTTTTCGACGTGTATCCGTCTTCCTCGTTCGTTGTCACTTACGACCATTCTTCCTTCGCCTGCTGTCACCTCTTCCCCCACGTCTTGCTTCCGCCAGTGAAAAAGCAGCGGCGGCTGCAGGTGCTCGAGAAGCCACGCCTCTCAGTCACACGCAGGAGAATGTTCTCCTCAGGTGTGCTATCAGGTATTTCAGGTGTTTTTTCTCTTCGGTTTTTGGATCTGCCGATCAGGTATGTCATTACTGGTGGTCATTATTATAAAATCTGATGCTGCGGTCTTGCAATCATAAGCCGTCTATCACACTTTCCCTGTTTGTCTCTCCCCTCGCCCCTCGCTGTCTCACTCTCCCCCACCCCTCACTTTCCCTTCATCTCTCCCCTCAAACCTCACTGTCCCTCTGTCACTCCCCCTCACCCGCTTCTGTCTCTGCAGGGCCCTCCTCTCAAGCAGCAGCCTGGGCGAACAAGGCAGGCAGCTCTATGCTCAAGAAGGCTCGCCTGGGATATGCCAACAGGTGGGCGGGACGTGGCGTCTTCGTGGATGGGTCTGGGGACTTATCATTCTCAGCCAATTGTTTGATTTGATACTCTCACATGCATAGGTTGTCTTCCCTGTCTCATCCCACATGTCCCCGCCTCCCCCCTTCCCCTAATCTTCCCCTCCCCCCTTCCCCTCCTCCCCCCCCTCCCCCCCCTCCCCTCCTCCCCTCCGACCTCCCTCCCCCGCTCCCCCCCTCTCCTCCTCCCCCCTCCCCCTCTCCTCCCCCCCGCCTCCCTCCTCCTCCCCCTCTCCTTCCCCCATCCTCCCTCCCATTCTCCCCTCCGTATCACCTTGCAGTGTGCAGGCACGGCTAGTGTCAGATATCAAGAAGAAACCTCTCAACTACTCCCCGCCCCGCTCATACACACACAGACCCTCCTCGCTCTCCTCGCTCTCCTCCTCCCCAGCTGCACGGGCAACCAGCAGAGCCGCTGTTACCACCAGCCCTGCGGTTACAAGGCAGCTTAGTTCCACACGCGCATTTTCCAGGTAGCCGTCAGCCAATCACAGCCCTCATGCCCGCCTTTCTGCCCGGGAGTCACCTTCTGGCCGAGGCTTTTCCGAACCAGCAAGAGCCATGGGGATGGAGGCTCGGGGGCAGGTTCGGGAGCAGGCCAGGGGTTCGTCCGGAGCAGGCATCCTGAATATTGTTGACCATAGACAGGGTTTTGTGGGTGCAGAGGAGGCTTGGGAGGGCGGTAAGAGGAGATGCAGAGCTGCAGAGGGAAGCAGAGAGAGACGAATGAACAGTGGCATAGACAGGGACAGAGACAGAGATTGGGAGTGGGAGAGTGGAGGAGGAGAAAGTGGAGAGGAAGAGAGAGATATGGAAGACCATGAGGAGGAGGAGAACCACGGGAAGAGGAGGAGAGAGACTGGCAGGGGAAGAGGGAGAGGGAACGGCAGGGATGCAGAGCAGGATGGGGAGTGGAATAGGAACAGAAGTAAAGGCTATGGCAGGGGTGTAGGTGGAGGCAACGACAGGAGGCAGGCTGATGGAGTGGGTGGGAAGAGCCAGCATGGGCAGACTGGCAGCAAGGAGCGTGTTGCTGAAAGAGGAGGTGAGTGATTGAAGGACACTGCAGGTTGATGGAAAGAGTGGGAGGAGCAACAGCTGTCATGTGCTGCCCGGGAGCATGGAGCGTGTTGGTAAGGAAAAAGGAGGTGAGATTTAGTTGACTCAAAGACCAGGGTCAGGGGGCAGGTTGATGGAACGGGTTGAGGAGCAAGAGCGGTGCTGTGCAGGCTGGCGGCAGGGAGCGTGTTACCAAGAGGAGAGGAGGTGATTGGAGGAGAGGGGAGATGAGTGAGGTGATAGGGGGGGTTACGAGTGAGGTGAGGTGGGTCCTTCCCTCCCTATTGTGCTGTGACTGCATTTCAAGCATCTTGCATCCCTCCCTTGCTCAGGGTGTGTATCCTACTGTGTGTGTATTCCCTATGCTCCATTCGACCTGTGTTTGCGCAGCAGGGAGTTTCAAGGGGAAGCGGAAGGTGGAGAGCAGCATGGACTGGGGCGTGTAGGAGGCAGGCCACATGTAAATGCGTTCTTTGCAACAGCCGTTGCTCAATTGTGTATCCATCCATTCCATTTCTACATTCCCTGCACTCCATTCAACCTTTCGGTGAGCAGCAGGGAGTTTCAAGGGGAAGCGGAAGGTGGAGAGCAGCATGGATTGGGGCGTGTAGGAGGCGCATGTAAATACTTCCCTGTATCAGCCTGTTACAAAGTTGCTGCACACCTGTACTTATCTTCCGCTTGCCTCACTAGATTTCCCTGATGTAGTTCTCTTTGTTAGATCGCGTTCGGAACCTGGGGCCATATTTTCAGTGCCTTATGCTGTTGTGCAACTTTCTACATTGGTCTATTCTTTCATTCGTTATCTTGTGCTATGCCATCCGTCGTTGGTTTTTATCACTTAAGCCAAGAGGTATGACTAAATGCTTCGGTCAGGCAGGAGGTACCGTACATGGTCCAGCCAGGAGGTAAATGTAAAGGTGCAAAATAAACATGGGTCCACTAGAAGGCATTTATTCACAAGGGAGGAAGATGCAAGGCACAGTAAAACAGCATCTGTCTGTCTTCCCAGCTTCACAGCCCAAGCAGAGACTAGAAAACAAGGCCAGCGGTGGCGTGAATGAGCATCAGCAGCACTGAGTGCTTAGCCTAGTGCCTGCTTGGGCTGTGAGAGAGAGCCATTAACCGAGACTTGCAGCTTCCTCCCAGGCATGCTTGTCCTCCCTGCCACCATCAAATGCGCCCCGTGCTCCGACACTCCTCGTGCCCTCCATGCTCCAATGCCCACCGTCTTCAATCCCCTCCATTGACTGACCCTAACTGCCTTCCCTTCTGCAGACCCCACTCACCTGATTTACAACTACACTCCAACACCAAAAGATGCATCCCCTCTAAAGCTCACACAGCGCAGCTCATCCACTTCAGCAAACCAGACCCAGGTGATAACCATACCGTATGTCAACCCTCAGACACCACCTGACATATAAAATAGCAGAAAGTGTACCTCCTCCACAGCCGTACATAAGAGAGCAGTTCATATGCACCCATCCCCTGTTCCCCCGTGTCCTGCCCTGCCTCCGCCAGCCCCGCTACTCCATCCTGGCCACAAGGGTGCCCTGTGCCCCGACGCGCACGTGCAGGAAGATAGGCATGTTGGTGGACATGCGGGTCACGAGGGCAGACGCCAGCGCTGCCGACACTCGAGTCTGCCCGACCATGGCGTAGGTGCCACCACTGGTACCCACCCACGCACCGCTCAGCACCGCAATCGGGGAGAGAGAGACTGCAACCGAGGCTCCCATGTTGCCCACCGAGCCTACCACCGAGCCTGCCATGTTCCCCGCCGAGCCAACGAGGCTCCCCACAGCCCCGCCCACGCCGGAGATGAGGCCGGAGACCGAGCCTCCGAGGTTCGTCGAGGCTCCGAGGTTGGCGTTGATGCCGCCCGAGCCTGCGTTGACGGCACCACCGGCTCCGGCTGAGGTGTTGAGGAGAGGGGAGGAGGCTCCAAGGGAGGCAGAGCCGGAGAGAGAGCCATTGGGGAGAGACACGCCCACTCCTGCTCCCACGCCGGCTGACGTGTTGAGGAGACTGGAGGAGGCAGTGAGGCCTCCTGCTGCTGAGGCAGAGCCGGTGGGAAGGGAAGCGCCAATGCTGGCGCAAACACCAGCAGACGTGTTGAGCAGCCCCGTGGACGCAGCAACGCCGCCCGTTGCACCGACAGTGCCGTTGGGAAGGGAGACCCCGGCCGTGGCTCCTACCCCGGCGGATGTGTTGAGGAGGCCGGTGGAGGCAGCGAGAGAACCGGATCCTGAGAGAGTGCCGTTGGGAAGGGAGACGCCAACGGTGGTGCCAACACCAGCGGATGTGTTGAGGAGGGCGGTGGAAGCAGAGAGATCACCCGCTGCAGCGACAGAGCCGTTGGGGAGAGAGACGACGGCACCAGCGCCCACCCCTGCAGATGTGTTGAGCAGCGCGGTAGACGCCGAGACACCTCCTGCTGTGTTCACCATTCCGTTGGGAAGAGACGCTCCAATGGTAGCGCCAACACCAGCAGATGTGCCCATCAGGCTGGTAGAAGCCGAGACACCTCCTGCCGCATCCACCGTTCCGTTGGGAAGAGACGCCCCCACTGTGGCACCAACACCCGCGGAGGTGTTAAGAAGGCTGGCTGAGGCTCCAGCAGCGGCGCCCGCGGTGGCGTTGAGGGGATTGGCTGTGAGAGAGGAGCCGAGCTGAGCCGAGAGAGCCGGGTCGAGGGCGAGAGAGGCGGCGGTGGCAGTGGAGGTGGTGGAGGAGGAGGAGGGGCAGGGGTTGGCGGTGAGGAGGTGGGGCTTAGAGGAGGGGTGGGTGCCGGCCTGGGTGGTGAGCTTGTAGGTGAGGAAGAGAGCAAGTCCCCTGTGGCGCGCATAACGGAGAGAGAGGGGATGGGGAAAGGGTGAGGGAAGGACGATGGACTGAGTTGAGAATATGCATGTGTTCAAGGCACTGCCAGTGGCGCCATCACAGCCTTATCCGAATATTTTAGTGCCCTGCGAGGTCTTATGATTCTCCAGGAGCCTAAGATTTTATAAGTAGTGCTCTGGGATTTGGCGGAGATTCCTGTGCGGCTCGCGAGTGCCTCTTCACCTCACCTTCTCACGAGCTCCAGCTGGGCTGAGCCATCCGTCTCGCCCGAGCCACACATCACCAGAGGGCCGCTCACCGATGCTGCACGCAGGGAATGTGTATGTGAAGTTGTTGGTGGTGTGGAGGTATGTTCGGTGAGAGACACGGTAATGTTTCGTTGAACAACATAAAATTGTTGCGTAAAAAACAGCGCCGCAAAGAATGCGGCATATTCCAGGAGAGAGCATGTTTGTGAAAGTTAGGACAAACGGTTCCCAAAAAACTGGTTTGCTCACACAGAACTTGAGTTCGAATCCCCAGCCTTATGGCAGACGCGGGCGGAGTAATCAACGCTGCATAGAAGTGAAAAGGCACAAACGCAGAAGAGAAGCAACACATGAGCACAGTTCAGTTCGGGGAAAAATCTAGGGACCAAATTTGTTGAGCACACATCAAAATGGCGGGCGCATGCATGCCAAACAAGAGCAAGAATATGCTTCTTACCTGAGAGAAGGAGAGCCAGAACCACGGCAGCCTGAACCCGGACGGTGGAAACAGCCATAGTTGAACTTGTGTTGCGGATAACTCGTAGCTTCCAATCGAGAGTGCTTTGGGACTAGTAGTTCGGATTGGATTGATTTGGTGGGAGAGTGAGAGAGAGACTTCGCGATGTCTGCGGTATGGAATGTTGAAATTTATGCTGCCTGGTTCTGGAAATTTCAACATCGAGCCGCGGCAATGGATGGCGGTGCGGTCGGCTTGGGCTGGCCGAAGGAGGGACACGTGTCGATGAAATGAGACGTAGTAGGGCAGCTCGCGAAAGCTCGCTCTTGTCATTGCGAAATGACGACACTGCTTCTGCTGTTTCGTCATTTCGTTCTTCTGGGGAATTCACGCCTGCGCTTTTGTCGGAGGGGCGGCTAAAGAGTGACGGAGCGGGGGCCATTAGGCTGCCTGTCGGTTCGTCGGGATTCGCCTTGTAACAACCTTGTCCCACAAAGATTTTGCAAGAAACTCGACAAAAACCACCGCATTATGGCGAATCAAACGAGTTCACGATACAACTGGATCGAATTGACTTCACACAATAAAAATGTCACTTTCCACCATGTTTGCTTGCCACTGGCAGCTGTAATTTTCAACTTTTTTGTTTTGAGGCTTCCCGTGTACTCTATCGTTCCTCCAAATTGCAGCTCCAATCTCATAATCATCCCACACATTATCTGACACTCCGTCTACCTTGTCTGACGCCGATTGAGCCACAATAATATACTTGTACTTCTGAGCTACACATAAGAATGCTATTCTTCCGCTCAGAGCACAATTCAAGAATGGATTAAAAGAGAGCCGCAGCCACCACTGTTCTTAAATTTGCATTCTGAGCTGATAGTGCATGTGCAGCCTTGCCAGAAGGGCTTGCGAAAATGTAAAACAGCATCAGTAAAGGAACCCCAAAGAAGCCACACCGAAGACCCCTATATTTCAATTTAGAGCAGAAGGGCAATGACGGAGCAGAGCAGGGCCACAGCCGTCACAGCACTGGCACTGACACTGTTGAATGACGATGCTTGTGCTGCCTTGCCAGGGGCGGTAGGGGGTGAAGCAGCAGCGGCAGGAGGAGGGAGGGCAGCAGCAGGTGCAGGTGTTGCGGGGGAGGAGAGCAGTGCAGAGACGGTGTCCGAGGGAATGTCTGCCAGAGATGCCTGGGTCCTGCCAAGGGTTGAGGGAAAGGGGTGGTGCGCAGGGGAGGGGAGAGAGGGGGGAGGAGGAAGGGGGGACAACAAGGGGTGGGTGCGTGACAAGGTGGAGCAGCAGGGAGTGGGGGCAGGCCGGTTTGCAATGCTGCTGAGTGTGAGGGGCGTGTGGAGGTAAATGTGATCCTGCAGGGCTGGTAGGTGGGGATGAAGTGTGAGTGCGTGTTGAGACGGTGTGGCAGTGTAGGGTTGTGGTGTGGTGCGGTGTGGTGTGGTGTGGTGTGGTATGGTGTGGTGTGGTGTGGTGTGGTGCGGTGTGGTGTGGTGTGGTCTGGTGTGGTGTGGTGTGGTGTGGTGTGGTCTGGTGTGGTGTGGTGTGGTGTGGTGTGGTGTGGTGGGCACTTACTCAGCCAGACAGCCATTGAGGGACTTTCATGAGCGTGTTGGTGCCGAAGGTGATCTTGCAGGGCTGGTAGGTGGGGATGAAGTGTGAGTGTCAGGGCAGGGCTGTGGTGTAAAGTGGTGCAGTGCGGTCCTGTCTCAACTTACTCAGCTGGGCAGCCATTCAGGAATTTCATGGGCACGTTGGCACCGAATGTGATCTTGCAGGGCTGGTACGTGGGGATGAAGTTGGACCCGCACGCGTAGAGTGTGTTGAGATGGTGTGGCAGGGTGGGGTGTGGTTTGGTGTGGTGTTACTTACTCAGCCGGACAGCCATTGAGGACTTTCATCGGCGTGTTGGCGCCAAAGGTGATCTTGCAGGGCTGGTACGTGGGGATGAAGTTGGACCCGCACGCGTAGAACTTGGAGAGCGTAGGGCTGTTAGGGTCCATGCCAAGAGTGTCGTTCTCGTACGACGCACACATGTCATAACACATATCCATTTCTGTTTGGGAAGAGGTGCGGGAGGGAAAGAGAGGAGGTGCAAGCAGTAGGGTTGTTGGGGTCCATGCCAAGAGTGTCGTTCTAGTATGATGCACACATGTCATAACACATATCCATCTCTGGTTGGGAGGGACAAGGGGGCGGAGTAGTGGCGGATGGGAAAGGTTGGAGGGTGGAAGCACAACGTGGGGCTGTTGGGGTCCGTGCCAAATGTATCGTTCTCGTATGATGCACACATGTCGTAACACATATCCATCTCTGGTTGGGAGGGACAAGGGGGCGGAGTAGTGGCGGATGGGAAAGGTGGGAGGGTGGAAGCACAACGTGGGGCTGTTGGGGTCCGTGCCAAATGTGTCGTTCTCGTATGATGCACACATGTCGTAACACATATCCATCTCTGGTGGGGGAGTGGTGCGGGAGGGAAAGAGAGGAGGTGTCAGTAGGGCAGTTGAGGTCCATGCCGAGAGTCTCGTTCTCATATGTCGCAGCACATGTCAATCCCTGGTGGGGGAGGAAAAGAGGAAAAGGGACGCGACGAACATTAGTAGAGCTGTATTTTTGTGCGATGCAAATATGCCGTCGCATGCGTTGAGATAGTCAATGCACATCTCGGCCTCTGTGGATACCTCTAGCAGAGAGGCGATGGGTCCCCACAGAGACGATGGGTCCCTTAACAAAGTGCATGGGGAGAAGAAGCATTACCTTGGCCCTGACGTGCCGGGTAGTACACGAGGTAGTCAATGCACATCTCGCCCTCCGTGGATGGCCCTCCCAGCGTCACCTGCGTGAAGCAAGGGGTGGAGAGGGGCAGAGATGGGCAGAGATGGGTAGAGATGGGCAGAGATGGGCAGAGATGGGCAGAGATGGGCAGAGATGGGCGGAGATGGGCAGAAATTGGTGGAGACAGGCGGAGATGGGTTGAGATGGGCGAAGAGGGACAGTGGGTGGAGGAGTCCACTGTAAAAGGGGGGCTTGTCACCACACAGCGAAGCAGACACTGATAAGTGAGTTACTTTTGAGTTGGCTCAAAAGTCACCTCGCTGAAAGGGGGGATAGTTTTGAGGCGGCTCAAAACTGGGCTTGTCACAATACAGCGAAGCAGACACTGATAAGTGAGCGACTTTTGAGTTGGCTCAAAGACACTGTGAGAGGCGAGGCAAGTATGTTGAAGTGGGGGAGGAGTCCCAGCCACAGGTGGCATTGACATGCAGTAACGTTGGAGGGTATCCAGTTGCTAAGAGGCACGTATGTTGGTGGGAATGGGGGGCGGCACGTACGTTGGTGCGAGCAGTGGAGTCCCAGACACACGAGGTGCGCAGCTCGTCCCCTGGCAGCAGCTCAAACTCCGGCGTGGTGGGGATGGACTGCTGCGATGCAAAGTCGCTGCGATGGTGTGAGAGGAGGAGGGCGGGGAAGAGTGGAAATAGGGAGGGAGGGAGGGAGGGAGGGCTTTAGTCAGCTCGTCCCCTGGCAGCAGCTCAAACTCCAGTGGGGTGGGGATGGTCTGCTGCAATGCAAAGTCGCTGTTGCGGTGTGATGGGGGGTGGGGAAGAGTAGAAAGAGGGAGGGAGGGAGGGAGGGGTGGAAGGCTCTTGTGAGCTCGTCCCCTGGCAGCAGGTCGAACTCTGGTGTGGTGGGACGTGTGGTGTGCTCCGGGTTGCAGTGACTGGACTGAAAAGGATTCGTTACAGCAGGCAAACGGGGGATGACGGTTGGGTGAGGAGTGGCGAAGGGTGTTAAAAGGGTCGGATGGGACTCACTAGTAGTCCTGGTAGTTTCTGAGAATTCTCAATAACCAACTTGTCTCGAAAGGGTTTCTTCGAAGGGGACTCACTAATAGTCCTGGCGGTTGATAGTTGCGACCTTGCTGCCCCGCCTGAACACATCCGTGTACAACTACAGTGGGGGAGGGTGGATGGGGAAATGGGCAGCATGGGCAATTGGGCAGCATGGGGGAATAGGCAGCATGGGGAAATGGGCAGCATGGGGAAATGGGTAGCATGGGGAAATGGGGAGCATGGGGAAATGGACAGCATGGGGAAATGGACACAACAGAGGCGAGTTTGTTAAGCGATTTCCATAGACGCCACGCCACAAAACGCCATGCCACATCCCCTCTCCACCTGACCCCTTAACAGTCCTCTTATGTCTCACCTGTCGTGTCAGCATGTGCATGTACAACACAGGGCCACATGCAACACAGGGCCACATGCGCAATGATCCTCCCCACATGCACTCTCACGGCCTTACCTGCTGCCCCACCACACTCTCACGGCCTTACCTGCTGCCCCACCACACTCTCACGGCCTTACCTGCTGCCCCACCACACTCTCACGGCTTTACCTGCTGCCCCACCACACTCTCACGGCCTTACCTGCTGCCCCACCACACTCTCACGGCCTTACCTGCTGCCCCACCACACTCTCACGGCCTCACCTGTCGCCCCAGCGTGTGAAGGTGCAGCACAGACCCAATGATCTTCACACTCTCATTCCCGAACACCTTGGCAGTGCACTCGCCCGGGCACGTGCTGACCACCGTCCAGTGCACCTGACCTCTGTAACAGTCTTCTCGCGGCCTTACCTGCCTCCCAAGAGTGTGAAGGTGCAGCACAGACCCAATGATCTTCACACTCTCGTTCCCGAACACGGCAGCAGTGCACTCGCCCGGGCACGTGCTGACTTGCGTCCACGAGGGCATGGCGGGGGGGATGCGGATGAGATACTCATAGGCGACAGGGCCCGTGAGCATGATGGACGCGTCCATGGGACGGAGGGACGGGGCGAGCTTCAGGTACAGCCCGGAGTTGTCGATCAGATCATTGCGGCCCTTGGGATTGGTAAAATGCACCTGAGGAGGGAGGGTAGGGCGCGGGGAGGAGGGCATGGCAGGGGGAATGCGGATGAGGTACCTCGTAGGGCACGGGGCCCGTGAGCATGATGGACGCGTCCATGGGACGGAGGGACGGGGCGAGCTTCAGGTACAGCCCGGAGTTGTCAACGAGATCAGCTCGCGCCTTGGGGTTGGTGAAATGCACCTGAAAGGGGGAAAGGTGGGGTGCGGAAGGGCAAGGATTAGGGAAGGTTTTGAGGGGAATGAGGTACTCGTAGGCCACAGGGCCCGTGAGCATGATGGATGCGTCCATGGGACGCAGGGAGGGCGCCAGCGTCAGGTACAGCCCGGAGCTGCCGATCAGGTCCGGCCGGCCCTTGGGGTTCGTGAAATGCACCTGAAAGGGGAGGGGCAGGGAGAAGGAAAAAGGAGACGTGAATCCTGAGTCAAACTGAAATCAAGCAAGGTTTGTGCAGTTCAGCTGTTGGAGAGCATTTTATAGACATTGGGCTATGGGGCAGTTGAATTTGAGACATTCGACTCAAGAAACAACTCAAATCGAAATCGCTATGGGGCTTGTGCAGTGCGCCTGAAAGGGGGAGAGAGAGAGAGAGAGAGAGAGAGAGCGCAGGGAGAAGGGCGAGGGGAGGTCTATCTGACACTGATAGGAACGCCGGGTTAAGAAAAGGTGGTTTGGAAGGGTCCGGGATTCATAACGGAACAAGGATGGTACTCCTGGGTGTGGTAGATAGGTAGGAGTCAGATTTGTGTGGGCATGCGGGTAGAAGGAAGGAAACCAGATGCGTGACATACAACAGTTTTGCACCGCACTGTACCCACCTGCAGCACGAACTTGGTGAAGTATCCGGGGCCAATGGGATAGCCGACATTGGGCGGGTAAGTGAAGGGTCTGCCGCCCACAGCCCACATGGCGACAGTGATGCCACATGGGTTGTCGTGCAGGCAGTCAAAGTCGGCCTCCGCGCCCTTGAGATTTGTTGGTGGAACCCTACGGTTTGCACTCGGCTTGTTGTCCGTGTGCGTGAATGTGTGTGTGTATGGAATGGTATGAGGGCATGGGATAATATATATTTCATGCTTATAATTGTGTGTGAATGTTGAGTCATGATGTCGAGTGTGTGTGTCGAGCCAATAGCGAGTTATCGCTAGACGCGTGTTACGCGGTCGTTTGTGTCTCGCGCGCGGTTTCTATTTTGTCGTGCGCGGTTTCTATTTTGTCCTGTGTCGAACGTTCGGCGTGTCGCAGGTGTGTGTGCAGCAGACCCATCAAGAACTCAAGGATGAGTTTGTGATGAAGAGCCCGAGCCTTGGTGTCAAGCCTCAAGTGATTTCGAAGCTTGCCAAAAGAGTACACCTCAAGATATTGAAGATAGTTACATTACTTTGTGTAGTGTAACATTTCACTTGGTGTAGGCCCTAGTGAAGGGTAGTTTCGAGACCCTTCGTGGTTGGGGACAGTGTGGCACTGTTCCACATCACTGTACCTCGGCTCTTGGGGTTTGTAGGAGCTGGGAGTCATTCCCAACTCGTAACTCTTCCTATCTTGTGTTCTAAGACTATAGTGGCTGCCATAGTACCGTTCGTTCAAACCGACGCTGTGTCGTCAATTCTTTATCAAATCGTGCAATCTAAATTGCTAATTGTAGACGACGTGAAGACGCTCCAGATCCAATTTGAATTAAGTCATTTGCAGCTGTGAGCAGAACGCTATCAACGTTTGAAGCCGCTGTGCAGAAATCCGTCTGTGCTCTCTATCTTTCGTTTTAGGCACATTCAAGCCTATTGTGACCATAACAAGTGGTATCAGAGCCCCTTGGAGCAGTTTCGACAATGTCTGGACCTGAGGAAAGGGGTGGCAGAGGTGCTGGTGGCAGTGGAGAAGCTCAAGCTCAAGGCCAACCCCGTGATTCAGCCATGGCGCCCATGCAACCAAGTCTTGGCCCATCTAGGGATGAGCCTAGGGTGTTTGGGCTTGACAAGTTCAACGGTGACAACTTTGCTGAATGGTCCTTCAAGATGGAGAACATCTTTGACCACTATGACCTGCTGGAGGTGATGGAAGGAACGGAGAAGCGCCCCGAGAACGACCCGGAGAAGAGCCCGTGGGTGCGGAAGAGCGCACAAGGCTATCTCTTACTTGGGCAAGCGTTGGGGAGCAGTCAGATCCGTCACATCAAGCCATTCCAGCGTGAACCAGAGAAAGGACCAAAGGCATGGGCTGCTCTCAAGGGTGTACATGCTCCTGCAACAGCGGCGGTAGCGGTGGTGTTGGAACGGCAAATGGCGGCACTACGAATTGAAGAAGACGAAGCGGTTGAAGAAGGGGTGCAGAAATTCTTCGACTTGTTGACGCGGCTTGAGGGAGCTGATTTGAACTACAGTGAGCTCCAAAAGAAGACCAAGTTGCTGGCCTTACTCCCAGAGTCATGGTCCTCGCTCATCATCAACCTTAATCGCGACTTGCCCCGCCTCTCGCTTGAAGACGTGAAGCGAGCTATCCTTCAAGAGGATTTCCGCCGCCGTGAGTTGGCGAGTGCGGATGGCGCTGGGGCAGCGAGCATCGGCCGTGGATATGGTCGAGGAAGAGTCAGAGGACGAGGGGGAGGAAGGTTTGGTGGCAGCAACTTCGGCGGAGGCCGCAGGAGTGGCGGTTACGGCAGCGACGACAAGAGCTACGGACGCGGTCGCGGCCGATTCGACGGCGAGTGTCACTATTGCCACAAGAGCGGACACATGTGGCGTGACTGCTACAAACTCCCTGATGGTTGGACCTCTGCTCAAGGCCAAGAGGGTAGAGGAGCAGGAGGAGGGAGAGGACGAGGCCGTGGAGGCCGTGGCGGTCGCGGTGGCGGAGCTGCAAACATGAAGAGCGGAGACAACGACAAGGACCCGAGCGACGATCGATACCCGGGTCTATTCTACTTCGTGTCGACGCAAGTACCGGCTGGTCCAGAGAAGGATGAAGGCTTTGAGGAGCCAGCAGCTGTGGGGAAGGTGACCCTACACCCCCTGGACTATTGGGTGATTGATAGTGGCGCTACCTATAGCATGACACCTCGCACGGACTTGCTCACCGAACTCGAGCCGTCACCGGTGAAGCATGTCACATCGGCTTTGGGGCAGCGAGCAGAGGTGAAAGGCATGGGCAAGGCCATGTTCAAGGGTGCTGATGGGAAGATGGTGGGCCTCAAGAACGTGCTTTGGGTGCCCAGCCTTGCTGCAAACCTGATTTCCGTGCGGCGGTTGGCAAAGGCCGGCATGGACACGAACTCGAAGGGAGCCAAGACCTACACCGCAAGGCTTGGCGATCGAATTCTTTGGGACCTTCATGAGGACAGGGATGTCTACAACGAGATGTGGCAGATCCCAGTGGTCCCTATGCCTAAGGAGAGGCATGTGGCAGCAAGCATCAGCACCAAGGATGGAGCGGTCGGTAGCGACGATGGCGCGAACGGTCGCGCTAAGGAGAATGAGCTCAAGAAGAGCAAACCTGGAGGGACCAGCAAGTTCAGTGAACCTAAGGAGAGTGGTGCAGCAACCAAGGAGCAGCAAAAGGGTGAGGAGAACCCAGAGGCAGCAGCGGAGGAGGACTACGCAGAGAGTATGTGGGGCGCTATTGCGAGCGCGGCATTCTCCAATCCAACTTCGGCTACGGGGGAGTGTGATTGGCTCACCTTGCATCGGCGCATGGGGCATGTGGCCCTGCCCATCTTGCAGCAGCTAGTGAAGAATGAGATGGTTGCTGGCATACGTGTGAAGGGGGAGCCCGATGAGGTGCTTGGCTGCCCGACGTGCATTCAAGCCAAGTTCACCCGGTTTCCGTTCCCTAGTTCGGAGGCAACGGCAAAGGCACCGCTTGATGAGGTGGTGATGGACGTGGTGGGCCCCCTGAAGCTTGGAGCTGCTGGAGCTGAGTATTTTCTCACCATTGTCGACGTCTACACCCGCATGACTTGGGTGTACGTGCTGGCCAAGAAGAGCGACGTGGCTGAAACGTTGAAGACGGATTGGTTCCCGATGGTGGAGCGGCAACAAGACCGTCTAGTCAAGTCAATCCGCACCGATCGAGGGGGAGAGTTCCTGAGCAAGGAGTTTGGGTTGTGGCTGAAGAAGAATGGTATTCGGCACTCCCTCACCATGCCATACTCCCCTGCAATGAACGGCATCGCCGAGCGAGCGAACCGCACAATCACGGAGGCGGCACGCGGGTTGCTCATTGAAGCCGGGCTACCCGACTATTTCTGGCCTGATGCGGTGCGGAGCGCGTGTGTGGCCAAGAACAGAGCCTTGACTCATGTGGGAGCAGACAAATGGGTGCCCTATGTGGAGTGGCTAGGAAGGAAGCCAAAGGTGGATATGCTTCGGGTGTTCGGGTGCATGTGCATGGCGCTCGTGCCTAAGCATCTTCGGCACAACAAGCTTGGTGCCAAGGCGGTGTGGGCCGTGCACTTGGGCATGGCTCAAAACAGCAAGGGATGGCTTCTTTGGGACCCATTCACCAAGAAGTTCTTGGTGAGCAGGGACTGCAAGTTCATGGAGAACTTCATGTACAAGGATTGGAAGGCGGAGAATGAGGCGAAGATAGGCGTGCGGTTTGGGGAGGTGAAGAGTTCCGGTTTGGAGCATGTGGAGCTGCCTTTGGAGCTGAGCAGCGGCAGCACAACCACAAGGCAATCCTCCCTTGTGAATGGGGGAGAGGAGGCCAATGATGCAGAGGAAGAAGAGGAGGAGGTGCAGCAAGTGAGCGAGCGTGCACCGTCACTCCCTTCCCGTACTACGAGTGCTCCACGGATTCGAGCCACACCGCAGCAACGCCAAGGCCTTCAAGTCCCTGCAGCTAAGGAGGAAGGAAGGGGGAAGAGGAGAGTTCAACCCCCTAATAGGCTGACCTATGATGCGCCGGGAAAGCAGGGCAAGACAGCCCTGGCCGGAGCGGCAATGATGGTCGGAGACGACGAGGAGAGTGACTACGAGGAGTGTGCCTTCGCGTTCTTCTCTCCGGTGGAGATGCCGGGAGAACCAGCAACTCTCAAAGGCTTTGGAGAGTAGTGATGCTGAGGAGTGGAAGAAGGCCATGGAGAGTGAGCTGAAGAGCATCGAGGAGAATGACACGTTTGAATTGGTGGAGCTACCGGAGGGGCGTACGGCGATAACGTCCAAGTGGCTCTTCAAAATCAAGTCGGATGCCGACGGCAAGATCGAGCGCTACAAGTCTAGGCTTGTAGCCAAGGGGTACCAGCAGAAGGAGAAGGTGGACTTCAAGGAGCTGTTTGCCCCTGTGGTGAAGCCGACGACGCTGCGAACCCTATTCGCGGGAGCCGCCATCAAAGGATGGGTAGTAAAGCAAATGGACATCGTAACGGCATTCCTTAACGGCATTCTTGAGGAGGAGATTTTTATGGCGCAGCCAGAGGGGTTTGATGATGGTAGTGGCAGAGTGTGGAAGCTGAAGAAGGCCCTCTATGGGCTGAAGCAGGCCCCTAGGCAATGGTACATGAAGCTGCGCGAAGTGTTGGAGGGGATCGGCTTCACTCCCTCAACGGCCGATCACTCCTTGTTCATGCTTGGCGAGGGGGAGCAGAGGAGTTTCATGGTGGTTTATGTGGATGACATCCTCATTTTCTCACCCTCTTCTGACCTTGTGAAGGAGGTGATGCTGAAGCTTCAAGACAAGTTCAAGTGCAAGGCCCTTGGTGACGTGAGCTTCTACCTTGGGCTCCACATCGAACGAGATGTGGAGAAGCGGTGTATGCGGGTGCATCAACGAAAGTACCTGGAGGCATTGGCTGCCAACTTTGGGCAGAGTGAAGGCCATGTGGCTACACCCTTTCCCTCTGGGTTCAAGTGTGTGAAGGGACCAGAGGAGGAGAGCGTTGGTGAAGAGGAGAGGCGCCGATTTCACTCGTTGGTGGGCAGCCTCATGTATGCGGCGGTAAACACCCGACCGGACGTCGCGTTTGCTACCGGGCAGCTGGCTAGGGTTGTGCAATGCCCTAATGAGGAGCAGGTAGCAGCTGGAATGAGGGTGGCCAAGTATCTTGGCCAAACACCGACCGTTGGGCTGCAATACTCGGCGGCGGCACAAAGGCGCCAAAAGGGCGCGGATGGTGTTGAACCCGGGCGTTTGTTCCTCACCGCCTACTCGGATGCTTCATATGCATCAGAATCAGAGGACATGACAAGTGTGGGAGGCTTCATATGCTGTGTTGGTGGAGGCCCAACTGCTTGGGAGAGCAAGAAGCAGGTTGACCAAGCTTTGAGCTCGGTGGAGTCCGAGTACATGGCACTCTTCCGTGCCGTACGGGAGATTGTGTGGCAACGGCGTTTGCTGGCTGAATTGGGGGAGGAGCAGCAAGGACCTACCCCACTGTACTGTGACAGCCAGGGTGCCATTGCTCTTGCTAAGAACCCTGTGTTGCATGGACTCACGAAGCACATGAGGGTGAAGTGGCATTGGACGAGGAGCATGGTAACCGCGGGTGAAGTTGAGTTGCGCTACGTGAAGACCACGGGGCAGCCGGCTGACATGATGACCAAGAGGCTGGTGGAGCAGCAGCATTGGAAGTGTTGCAAGCTGGCTGGGATGGCTCTGAACTGAGAGAGCAACATATCCTAAGGCCAACAATCCGAGGGGGAGTTTGTTGGTGCAACCCTACGGTTTGCACTCGGCTTGTTGTCCGTGTGCGTGAATGTGTGTGTGTATGGAATGGTATGAGGGCATGGGATAATATGTATTTCATGTTTATAATTGTGTGTGAATGTTGAGTCATGATGTCGAGTGTGTGTGTCGAGCCAATAGCGAGTTATCGCTAGACGCGTGTTACGCGGTCGTTTGTGTCTCGCGCGCGGTTTCTATTTTGTCGTGCGCGGTTTCTATTTTGTCCTGTGTCGAACGTTCGGCGTGTCACAGGTGTGTGCAGCAGACCCATCAAGAACTCAAGGATGAGTTTGTGATGAAGAGCCCGAGCCTTGGTGTCAAGCCTCAAGTGATTTCGAAGCTTGCCAAAAGAGTACACCTCAAGATATTGAAGATAGTTACATTACTTTGTGTAGTGTAACATTTCACTTGGTGTAGGCCCTAGTGAAGGGTAGTTTCGAGACCCTTCGTGGTTGGGGACAGTGTGGCACTGTTCCACATCACTGTACCTCGGCTCTTGGGGTTTGTAGGAGCTGGGAGTCATTCCCAACTCGTAACTCTTCCTATCTTGTGTTCTAAGACTATAGTGGCTGCCATAGTACCGTTCGTTCAAACCGACGCTGTGTCGTCAATTCTTTATCAAATCGTGCAATCTAAATTGCTAATTGTAGACGACGTGAAGACGCTCCAGATCCAATTTGAATCAAGTCATTTGCAGCTGTGAGCAGAACGCTATCAACGTTTGAAGCCGCTGTGCAGAAATCCGTCTGTGCTCTCTATCTTTCGTTTTAGGCACATTCAAGCCTATTGTGACCATAACAAGATTGCCGTACTCCTTGCTGTGAGGGGGGCGGGGTGGGGGAGGAAAGAAGAACAGCTTCGGAAACAGAGTTTGCTGGCAAAGCCAGTCCCTGCGTCCTTGAGATTGCCGTACTCTTTACTGTGGGGGGCCAGGATGGGGAGGAGAGAAAGACAGCTTGAGCCGTGGCAACGAGATATTTCGCTAGAATAGAACTGAGATAAAATCAGGGGAGACTTATCCGTTGTCTCCCCTGCTTTTATCTTGAAGATGATGTTGGAGGGAAGGGGGGCGGAGATTGTTGCTTACGCTTTGCAGCCGTAGATGATGGCATGATGGACGGCTGAGATGTCAGTAGAGTTGAGCACGATACCCCACTCAACCGCATGAGTCTTGGTCTTGAGAGCAATGTCCACCACCTGAGGACATGATCTCGGGGCGCAAATGGTTGCAGATCGGTGCAGATGGGTGCTGAAAGAGTCTCGCGGGCATGGGAAAGGGTTCTACTGTGTCACACAAGAACGAAAGAGGCACACGAGGTGGCATTCGGGGGCATTGGGTGAGTGCATTGTACCCGGAGAACACATGCACTATGATACGTGCATGGAAGAAGGCGCACGGCCCGGAGCCGTCCAGCAACGCACTATACCGCGAAGCACCTTGCAGCGATAGGTCGTGTGGTTCGTTGGCACCCGGTAGTTGGTGAACGTGAAATTCAGCCTGCTCTCCTGCGCCGCCTGCTGCTGCTGCTGCTTCCCTGCCTGCTGCTGCTGCTGCTTCCCTGCCTGCTGCTGCGCAGCCAACCTCCCAAATGCTCGGAGCGAATCAGACGCAGTGGACGCGGACGCGGAGGCGGAGGCGGAGGAGGAGGCGGAAGGGGGAGGCGTGGGCGCGATAATGGAGGGGCCGGGGGCAGGAGCGAGCACGAGAGAGGACGCGCCGCGGTCGGAGCTGTGGTAGCTAACGTCAGCCGTGGCGCCCAGCGCCCAGATGACGTTGTGAAGCTTCCCGGGAACTATGGGACGGTCGTTGCAGTCGCCCGTGTCCAGCTTGCGCCACACGTGCACGGTGGTCCACGTGTCGCCCGTGGATTGGTTCTTGGTCTGACTGCCGCCCAGAATGTGCCAGTCCTGCTTGTCGTCGAGTACGATTCCGGCGGTCGTCTTGTTGAAGATGAAGCGATCCGTCGCATACACGCGGGCTTCGGACTGTGCGACCCATGCGACGAGGGCATCTGGTAGCACACGAATGCAGCGCGCAGAGAGAGCGAGATGCCCGGGAATGAGGGTTTAGGGTGACCAGATGATGAATCACTCAATGATGAAGATTACAGGGAAGTGAGCGACTCAATCGGCGAGTGCAAGGGAATGTGAGGTAAGTAGGTGAGTCGTCCAATGCAAATCCTTAGGCGGACTCAGAATGTATGCGTTCTATAATGCGGCTCCCACCCATATGCTACAGCCAGATCGGAAATCAATCATGGATAGTAACTAACATGAAGAAGCAGTATTATCGCACCCCACTGGATCGTAGGAACTTTCGTACCTGAGCCCACCATGGAGCCAATCTCGGAGATGCCTATAGCGAACCATCCCGTAGTTTTTGCATTCAATGCCATGTGAATGGTCGCGTCGCTGCTGTTGACGGTCCAATAGAGCTCGAAGCGCGGATCCAGCAACGCAACATTGGAGTAGGTGGAAAGCAACTCGGGAAGGGAAGCCGCGTCATCCGCGGAGGCAGAATGGCTACTCATAACCGCCGTGAACGCCGCCAGCAATAGGAGTAGACAACACGAGGTCTGAGGCGAAACTTCGCAGCCGTGCCGCCTGTGCGCCATCGTTCCAAGCGTCTTTTCTTAAGGACTCCTTAAGAGTCAGGGAGGAGATGGAACAACCTCTTGTCGTCTGCAGCGTACACAAACGGGGTCTTCCGCGCGCCGAACCGACGGGGAGTGTGCGGCCGAGTGGGTCGAGTTTCTCGCTTCGCAAAGAAGCTGAAGCGACTCGAGATCTTCTCTTACTAGAGTTTTCCGCGGATGGGGTGCCACCAGTGGTGGATTTGTGTGAGGTCACAGTTGGATATGAGGGCAATTTGTAGGCGCAGGGGAACAAGGAGAGATTTCGAGCCGCCATGCTTGGCAATGTGCATCGACTATACGGTACATTGCGTTTGAATGAGAAAATTCCGAGTCGCGTGGTGTGAGGAAATGAGATTCCCCATTGAGTGACTGATAGCGTCGATCGCGGAAGCTGGCGTGGCAGTGTGGTTTGGTGGTTGGGCTCGTGGTAATTTCTGAAGACGTTCGGATTGGTGGGAGAGTGAACGAAATGGGTAACAAGAGTGGGAATCGTTCGTTGCTTAGCGAAGCACGTCACGTGTGATGTCATTTGAGAGCTTCGACGAAATGACTCGACACAACTGGCCACTCACCACACGTGGCTGACGTGGAGTGACAGCCTGTCATGTAAAAGAAAGTGAAGGCGAGGATGCTGGAGTAGTACAGCTGCTTCATCGTGTTCAACTGTTTCGTCATAAGAACCTCAACTCCTCGTGGTTCCCAAAGTTCCCAGTCACGTGGTGTAGAAACAGCTAGTGCCAAGGTGCCAGCAGGAAGGAAAAAAATAATATATAACAGCCAATCATCGCTGGAGATATTGGCTGATACGGACATACTCTGGAGTAAACTCGGCCGCCTTCTGTCTGTGCGTGTTGTTCTAATATGTGACACAATTGACATTATTTGAGGCCTCAGGGATTGAAGGTACAAGTTATAATCGGAGAATGATCTCATCTTGAACGTTGCCAGCAACGTCTATAATAAAAAGCAAGTGTATCTTGCTGTAAAAAGCTTTGTAAAAACTCGCTCGACACGTCACTGGTGAAGTAGTTGGTACGAAACTTTCAAAAAGATCGCTCGGCCACGCACATTTATACTCAATGTCATCAGTCTCTGATAAATTTCACCGTTTTATACATTTGACTTTAAAACCATATACCGTTGTCTGGATGAATCAGTGTTGCCAGGCAAAATGAAAGGGTGACGTTTGCTGGCTGCAAGGCTTGGGCTAGTTCCGAAGCATGGGCCTTACTACTCTGGTACGGCGATGCACGGTCTGACAAATGTTGGAGCATGAAGTTTCGAAGCCCTGGCGATTGCGACGAGTCCATTGAATATTGCTGCGCTCGGTGAAACAAGGTTTGCCATTGGCCATTGATTTTCTCCGTAAATCACACCACACAGCACCTCATTGTATCGCATGCAAAACTCCATTGAAAAAAAAGGAATGAAATAACTCCACAAGAAAAATATCATTATTCGTGCATGTTTGCTTGCCATTGGCAACTGTCATTTTCAACGTGAGTGTTTGGAAGCTTTCCATATTCCCATTACCCTTCCAACTCGCAGATCCCCCGCTCCTAATCATCCCATGCATCATCTGCCACCCCCTCCACCTTATCCGGTCCTGCTTGAGCCACAATCATGTGCTTGTATTTCTGATCCACTATCTTCACTGCTGTTGCCCCTATCATCGTCACATTTGCGGCAGTTGCTGCCCGATTTTCCCGGAACGCTGCTGCCTCCTCCTTCTCCTTCCTCCTTGCAGCCTGAGAGATGACGGGGAAGACAAGGCATGAGAATTGTGAGATGATGAGGCACAAGGGGCGAAGGGCTGAAAAACAAGGTGGGATACAGGGAAAGCAAAGGCAGATGGGGATGCAGGGAAAATGGATTGAGGCGTTTCTTTTTTTAACCTACCTTACGTTATCCCTCACCCTACCACCTCAACACACCATGGTGTTACCTGCCTGCCTCTGCCTCACACAGGGATTATTGATCCGAGCTACCAGAAACTGAAAGAAGAGTGGAGAAGTAGTCAGTCAAGGGCAGTGTAGCATTGTTGCCATACCTTGCCAGTCGCAAACGCCATGGTGTTGCCTGCCTCTGCCTCTGACAGTGCTTTCTTGATCTGAGCCACCAGAAACTGGGAAGAAGAATGGGAGGTGGAAGAAGAATGGGAGGTGGAAGAAGAATGGGAGGTGGAAGAAGAACAAGAAACGGGTTTCAACACAGCAAACGGACTAAAAAAAAGGAGTAGGACGAGTGTACAAAAAGTGATACTGTAAAGACAGAAGGCTGCATGCAAGACGCATGCTGCATAACCCATCACCATTCCCCCATCACCATGCCCCCATCACCATGCCCCCGACACCATGCGCCCATCACCATGCACCCATCACCTTGCGGCCATCACCATGCACCCATCACCATGCGCCAATCACCATACACCCCATCTCACCGCATCCCTATCAGTGTAGAAGGAAACGGCTCGCCCAGACGCCCCTGCTCGCCCTGTTCGCCCGATGCGGTGCACATAGTCCTCTAGGGCCTGTGTGGGGAGGTGGGGGAGATGTGTATGGCAAGAGACAACTTTCATCATTTTCATGAGGCCTAAGGTATGGGGAATGAGGCATGGGGCATGGCGCATGGGGGAATGAGGCATGGGGCATGGCGCATGGGGGAATGAGGCATGGGCATGGCGCATGGGGGAATGAGGCATGGGCATGGCGCATGGGGGAATGAGGCATGGGGCATGGCGCATGGGGGAATGAGGCATGGGGCATGGCGCATGGGGGAATGAGGCATGGGCATGGCGCATGGGGGAATGAGGCATGGGGCATGGCGCATGGGGGAATGAGGCATGGGGCATGGCGCATGGGGGAATGAATGAGGCATGGGGCATGGCGCATGGGGGAATGAATGAGGCATGGGGCATGGCGCATGGGGGAATGAATGAGGCATGGGGCATGGCGCATGGGGGAATGAGGCATGGGGCATGCAGCAGAGGGCAAGCAAGGGGTCACCTTGGGGAGGTCCATGTTGACGACGAGCGCTACTCCTGACACATCCAGCCCTCTTGATGCCACGTCCGTTGCCACCTGCAGGAATGAACACGTGGTTGAAATGCTTAAAAAGGCCGAAACAATCATCGCTGGATACCACGACCGTTGCCACCTGGAGGAATGAACACGTGGTTGGCATGAGCACCCAGCGCCCAACACCAACAAGGATATTCAGTGGTGTTTTTTATGGGAAGAGCAGCAGAAAGCTGTCACGAGCAACAAGAAGTTGGAATCCAGGAACAAGCTGAGGAAGAAGCGCTCAGCATACATCCAGCATCCAAGGCTGAGCACTCACGAGGATGTTGATGGTGTTCTTGCGCAAGTCCAGCAGCGCGGCCTGTATCTCTCTCCCTGGCTTCAAACCCAGCAACAAAACCAGAAACAAGCCCTCAGCACCCAGCCCCCACCATCCAGCCCACAGCATCCAGCCCTGAGCTCACAGCCCCCTGGCACTTACAAGGATGTTGATGGTGTTTTTGCGGAAGTCCAGCAGCGCCGCCTCTCTCTCCCCCTGGCTGCGCCCCCCATGCAGTGCTGCTGCCTTGAGCCCCTGCGCTGTCAGCGCCTCGCACACCTCGTCACACTTCACCTGGTGAGGGCAAGAACGAGCGGGAGAGAGACAAGCGGATGGTGGGTTTTTGGGAATATTTGCTGCCTTGAGCCCCTGCGCTGTCAGCGCCTCGCACACCTCGTCACACTTCACCTGTTGTTGTTATCAGACGACAGTTGGATAGGACGTAAGGGGTTGATAACAAGGGAGAGAAACAGATGGAAATTACAGGATAGGGTGTTTGAAAGCAGGATAGGATGTTTGAAAAAAGGAGTGAGAGGGTTTGGGCGGATTAGGTGTTGGCACAGAAAGTAAATGATGGTAAGTGACAGTAAATGAGTGAGTCGCTTCAGCACAAAAAGCACCCTCGGCTAGAAGACTATCCCCTGCATCTCACCTTGCGCTACACAAACACGATGGTGAGTGGCAGCGGCCGCTGCCACGCACCTCACAATGACCTGACCAAAATGATGGGATGGGGAAGATACCACAACTCTTGGCGAATCTTGCCACCACCCTGCAACGCACCTTGCGCTCCACAAACACGATGGTGAGTGGCAGCGGCTGCTGCCCGCTCTCTGCAGCGGCCATCTCCTCCACCAGCAGCTGCAGCAGCCGATCCACCTTGTCCTTCTCAGGCACCTTCTCCAGCGACTGGGTCACGTTCTGCGTGGGGCTGCTGACGCGCCCCACCTTGACGCGCACGGGCGTCTTGAGGTACTCCTGCGCCAGCGCCTCTATTTCCTCCGGCATCGTGGCTGAGAACAGCAGCGTCTGGTGCTGCTTTGGCAGGTTTGACATGATCTGCAGCGGGGCGGGGAGGGAGGGTGGTGGGGTGTAAGACGGGGGGAGAGAAGGGGGGAGACAGGGGTAGCGCGCCCACCTTGACACGCACAGGCACTCCTGGGCCAATCAGAGACACCCAAAGGAGCCACCTTGACGCGCACGGGCGTCTTGAGGTACTCCTGCGCCAGCGCCTCTATCTCCTCCGGCATGGTCGCCGAGAACAGCAGCGTCTGGTGCTGCTTCGGCAGGTTCGACATGATCTGTGGGGGGGAGGAGGGGTAGGGAAATGTGGGGTAGGGAAATGTGGGGTAGGGAAATGTGGGGTAGTGGAATGGACGCACTATCACCTTCTTCATCCGTTTCTTGAACCCCATGTCACGCATGTGGTCAGCCTCGTTTCACAACACCACACCACATGTACCCCCTTTTCAAGTCTGCCCTTTTGACCCTCCTGAACCCAATTTCACCCCTGCGTCTCTCAGCTCCTTATTCTGCCCTCACCTCCTTCATCTGGGGTTCGAATCCCATGTCCAGCATCCTGTCAGCCTCGTCCAGCACAACAAAAGACACACGCGCCAGCGATGTGTTGCCCTGCTGCAGATGGTCGATGAATCGTCCCGGCGTCGCCACCACCACCTGCACGCCCCCTCGCAGCACCGACCGCTGCTCGCTCATGTGCGTCCCGCCCACTATGATGGCCGTCTTAAACCCATCTGATGACAGGCTGAACGCTTTCACCTGGGGTGAGGATTTATGAGGGGTTGGAGAAAGTGCAGCAAGAGGGGTACGGCGTGGGTATGGGGGTGGTAAGTGTCGCCACCACCACCTGCACGCCCCCTCGCAGCACCGACCGCTGCTCGCTCATGTGCGTGCCGCCCACTAAGATCGCCGTCTTAAACCCGTCTGATGACAGGCTGAACGCTTTCACCTGGGGTGAGGGGTTGGAGAAAGTGCAGCAAGAGGGGCAGGACCTGGGTATGGGGGTGGTAAGTGTCACCACCACCTGCACGCCCCCTCGCAGCACCGACCACTGCTCGCTCATGTGCGTGCCGCCCACTATGATCGCCGTCTTGAACCCATCCGATGACAGACTGAACGCTTTCACCTGGGGTTTCGGGTTTGGGGTTTCAGGTTTTGCGGAAAGAGCAGGCAAAAGGATAGAGACGGCTTTCACTTGAAGTTTGGAAGGGGTGGAGTGTGTGCGCAAGTGCGTGGCAGAAGAGGCACCGCAAGCTGCATGCTACATCACCTCAAACTACGCCACTTCCATGCCTCTCGACTCGACACGTGCCTCACCTCCTTCTCAATCTGCTGTGCCAGCTCGCGGGTGGGCGCCAGCACGAGCGCCAGAGGCCCATCGCCCGGCCGCAGAGGCGCTTGATGCAGGCAGTGCTGCGGGCGGGCGCGAGGGGGGAAGGGGTGGGGGGCAGAATATTGTTGAGACGTCTAAGAAATCATCGCCCTGTTGCAGAGGGGGCGGAGATGCAGGCAGTGCTGCGGGCAGATGCGAGGGGGAGGAGAGAGGAGGGGGGGCGGGGGAGGAGACCAGGCGGTCCAATGCAGACGGGAAGGGGAGTTAGGAGACATGCAGGAACCGGCGAGGGAGGGCAAAAAAGTCGAAGAATATTAATATAAATCTCCTACGAACAAGACAGCCGGAAACGAGAGGGCATTCAGGCACCTCTGTGGATTGAGGGTGCAGAGGAGGGAGAAGAAAGGAAGAGGCGGTGGCTGTTGAGTTGCCTCTACAGGCAGCTCAGGCAGCGTACCAGGATCACGGGGATGGCGAAGGCGTGCGGACACATGGAATGGCAGGTGCGAGCGGCTCACTTGAATCATGGGGATGGCGAAGGCGGCGGTCTTGCCGCTGCCGGTTTCAGCACAGCCGAGAAGGTCGCGGTTGGAGAGCGCGATAGGCATGGCCTGCGCCTGGATGGGCGTGGGGTTGGTGTAGCTGTGGTACACGATGTCCTTTGAGATGTTCGGGTGCAGGCCCTGAAGTTGGTGGGGGGGTTGGGGGAGGAGGGAAAGAGAGGAACGAAACGAGGAAGGCGGGATGTTGGTAAGATGGGACTGATGGGCGTGGGGTCGGTGTAGCTGTGGTACACTATGTCCTTTGAGATGGTCGGGTGCAAGGGAGAACATAAAAGTAATAAATGATAATAAAATGAACTCACCATGTCGTCAAACGACTCGACTGGAGCGGGAGCAACGCCCGTGCCAGGCGTGACCTCCACCGTCACGTTCAGCCGCGCGCGGACCTCGGCGATCTGTAGCAGGGAAATGGCAGTCAGTGTCATCAATTTTAAGGATGCAGAAACATTTAGAGCCAATCAGTACCATGCAGTGTGATAAGTGTCGATCAATGGCATCCGGTGTGAATCAATCTCATTAGGTGACATTCAGAGTCAGTCAATGCCATTCAGTGTCAAACAATGCCATTCAGTATCAGTTGATGCGGGACACTCAGAGCCAGACGGTACCCATGCAGTGTCATTCAATGTCAGTCAATGCCATTCAGTGTCAGTTAATGCAATTCGGTAACATTCAGAACCAGACAGTGTCCGTGCAGTGTCATACAGTGTCAGTCAATGTCATTCAGTGTCAGTTAATGCAATTCGGTAACATTCAGAACCAGACAGTGTCCGTGCAGTGTCATTCAGTGTCAGTCAATGTCATACAGTGTCAGTCAATGTCATTCAGTGTCAGTCAGTGCCATTCAGTGTCAATGAAAGCCATCCTGCGTCATTCATTGTCGTTCAGCATTAGAAAAATGGTGTTCATACAGTGTCGGGATAATGCCAGATCAATAACAAACAATTACATGGTAAAAGGTATATAGAGCAGAATTTCAGCACAAGAGGGTTACGATTGACACCAACAAGAGATTATCGGTATGAATTTTCAGTCCATTCAAACGCGTAGACGTGGACGGACCACAGAAGACTGAAACTGCGAACCTACGAGATTCCGTGACTTACTGCTATATACGATAATGACGCATGTCGCATTTCATGAAACATTGACACATCCTTCCAACTTGGCATCACGAGCATGATTGAGGAACATGAGTGACGTAACAAAAGAACTATGCCCGTAACGAGATCGTATGGATGTAACCAGTAGTCTCCGTGTTTCGCGTTGAACAGAAGGAAGCGGACGACATATCATCAGGACATAGCAAGCGGTTACATGACTAATTTTCAGGACAACCAATCTGAAGGAATCAAATAGCAGACCTGATCTCCTTGCATGCGGATGACATATTGAACGGTCAGACGCCTTACATCCAGGACGCTCGTATCTGAAGAGATCAGAAGATACCCTAATCCGCTTGCAAACGATTCACATGGTCAGACGCTTCTATCCTGGTCCGTCTTTTCGTATAGGTTAGGAGCTACGGAATTATTGCAAGCAGACGACAACCTCAGACCGTGTATTATCCGGGACTGACATCTCTTAACGCCGAAACTGACATATTTTAACGGATCAGAAGCTAACCTGGTCTTCTTGCAAGCGGATCACGCGGTCCGACGGCTTCCATGCCGGGCAGACCGGCTCTGGAGGGCCGCTTCCCCGGGTCTCTACCGGCCGACGGCTGCTGCTGAAGCTGCTGCTGCCGCCGTCCCTGCTGCCGCCGTCCCTGCTCCCTCTGTCATCCCTATCCCTCCGATCGTCTCTATCTCGAGAGCCGTAGCTTCTAGAGCCGAAGCTGCCATAGTCGTTCCGATCGCCGTACCGGCCTGGGGGATCGGATCGGCCTCCTTGGGAGGATGACGGGGGGGCGGAACCTCCAGCCGACCCGCCCGCCGAGTTGCGTAAATGAGGTGGTACGTACGGCATTGCAGGATCGCTTACAAAGGCTAGGAACGTGAATTAAAAAAAGCTGGATCACGCAAAATGTCGGCTTGCGGAGCTGTGCGCTGGTCTGATGCGTCTACGCTGCGCACCGGCAGTTTGATCCTTACTTCTGCTGGTAAGGTTCTCTTGAAATATCTCAACGATGACAAGTTAGGAAATTCTGGGGGTTCCTAAAACTAGTCCAGTGACGCTCCTATTGACGACAAACCCAAGACCTTGAGTTCATGCTTTTTTTTTTGTTGAATCTGCTCTGTACACAGGCGCAGGAGTTGAGTCGCTCGCGCAAGCGGAAGGCGCAATGGAGCGGGTGTGAACTTGTTCCCGCAAGGATCTCCGCTTTCTCCGCAAACGGCCGACTCCCGTCCCGTGGCGTGCAATTCCCAAGGGAACGTTCCGCCAGGCACGCGCTTCCTCAATGAACACGGGCAGATCTCTGTCATACCCAAGCACGGGAGCCGCGGATTGGCTGATCGATAAGGGGAAAGGTGACGTGTCAGAAGTTGCGTTTGTGTACTAGAACATAACAATATGACACAACATAATAGCATTATCCTAACCCCAACACTCACAACCAACCCATACGATTATTGATGATTCTTATTCTCCCAGTTCCTACTACTTCCTCCTGGAATTGAAAAAAAACACCTTAATTTATGGAATATATACGCCGGCGAAATCTGTCAAGGCTAATATATTTTAAAAAATCACAAGTTACACGCCAGTACCGATTTGAGCGGAACATGGCAGTTTTGTTATTGTGTTCATTTCAGGTTATGCTGTTCCTCTAGGTCCATAATGTGGTGTGGTTCCTAGTGAATCACCCCCTGGTCTTCGCGAGACCATGTTGTTACAAGCGAATCCGACGAACCGACACGCACCTACCCCCATTCCGTCACTTCAGCCACCCCTCCGACAAATCCTTCGCATGAAAACTTCAGACGAACGAGTTGGCGAAACAGCAAAAGCAGTGTCGTCAATTCGTATTTACACGAGCGAGCTTTCGCGAGCGTCGGAGCACCTGCTCCTACGACGTATCAATTCATCGACACGTGTCCGCTCTTCCGCCAGCCCAAGCCGACCGCACCGCCATCCAATGTCGCGGCTCGATGCTGGATTCCTAGAATCAAACAGCATAAATTTCAACGAAGCACCTCACAGAGACATCGCCAATTCCTCTCACACTCCGTGCAGACCAATCCAACCAGAACTACCACCACTACTACTGTCTGAACCACACCGAAAGCAACGACGGTACTACTCATCCTGTAAACACACGCTCAACTATGGCTGCGCCCACCATTCGCATCCAGGCTGCCGTGACTCTGGCACTCCTCCTCTCAGGTAAGAGGCATATTATTGGTCTTGCCTAGCATGCATGCGCCCACTGCTTGAATCTCTGCATACTCAACAAATGTGGTCCCTAAGATTTTACAGAACTGACCTGTGCTCATTCTCTGCTGCTTTTCTTCTGCGCTTCACCTCCATGCAGCTCTGATTATTCCCCCCGCGTCTGCCATACGGTTGGGGATGCGAACGCAAGTTTTGGGTGAGCAAACTTCTCGGAACTGATTGATACAACTGTAGACGGCAAATGCATTATCTGGGTTATGCTTCTTTCGCTCTCTTTCCATCTATTTGGCGTTTTCCTATTATTTACGGTTACCCAATTCTCCCATAACTCCTCACCACCAATAACGCCCTCACTTCCCACTTCCCTGCTTTTACATATCCCCTGCGTGCAGCATCGGTGAACGGCCCTCTGGTGATGTGTGGCTCTGGCGAGACTGAGGGGTCAGCCCAGCTGGAGCTCGTGAGAAGGTGAGTCGCACAGGCACTCATAATAAGCTAAGCACCCCTGGACACTCCTGAGAACCCCTGAGCGACCCTCAGCACTCCCCAGCACTCCTGAGCACTTTCGAGCACTCCTGGGAACTCGCAAGACCACACAGCTTCGTAGCTAAAGAAATGATGGGGCCAGTGCTTTTACTCAACTCAATTCATCACCCCTCACTCATCTCCCACTTATCCCCCACCCTACCTCACGCTTTCCCTCCGCCACACCACAGGGGACTTGCTCTCTTCCTCACCTACAAGCTCACCACCCAGGCCGGCACGCGCCCCTCCTCCAAGCCCCACCTCCTCACCGCCAACCCCTGCCCCTCCTCCTCCTCCACCACCTCCACTGCCACCGCCGCCTCTCTCACCCTCGACCCGGCTCTCTCGGCTCAGCTCGGCTCCTCTCTCACAGCCAATCCCCTCAACGCCACCGCGGGCGCCGCTGCTGGAGCCTCAGCCAGCCTTCTTAACACCTCCGCGGGTGTTGGTGCCACAGTGGGGGCGTCTCTTCCCAACGGAACGGTGGATGCGGCAGGAGGTGTCTCGGCTTCTACCAGCCTGATGGGCACATCTGCTGGTGTTGGCGCTACCATTGGAGCGTCTCTTCCCAACGGAATGGTGAACACAGCAGGAGGTGTCTCGGCGTCTACCGCGCTGCTCAACACATCTGCAGGGGTGGGCGCTGGTGCCGTCGTCTCTCTCCCCAACGGCTCTGTCGCTGCAGCGGGTGATCTCTCTGCTTCCACCGCCCTCCTCAACACATCCGCTGGTGTTGGCACCACCGTTGGCGTCTCCCTTCCCAACGGCACTCTCTCAGGATCCGGTTCTCTCGCTGCCTCCACCGGCCTCCTCAACACATCCGCCGGGGTAGGAGCCACGGCCGGGGTCTCCCTTCCCAACGGCACTGTCGGTGCAACGGGCGGCGTTGCTGCGTCCACGGGGCTGCTCAACACGTCTGCTGGTGTTTGCGCCAGCATTGGCGCTTCCCTTCCCACCGGCTCTGCCTCAGCAGCAGGAGGCCTCACTGCCTCCTCCAGTCTCCTCAACACGTCAGCCGGCGTGGGAGCAGGAGTGGGCGTGTCTCTCCCCAATGGCTCTCTCTCCGGCTCTGCCTCCCTTGGAGCCTCCTCCCCTCTCCTCAACACCTCAGCCGGAGCCGGTGGTGCCGTCAACGCAGGCTCGGGCGGCATCAACGCCAACCTCGGAGCCTCGACGAACCTCGGAGGCTCGGTCTCCGGCCTCATCTCCGGCGTGGGCGGGGCTGTGGGGAGCCTCGTTGGCTCGGCGGGGAACATGGCAGGCTCGGTGGTAGGCTCGGTGGGCAACATGGGAGCCTCGGTTGCAGTCTCTCTCTCCCCGATTGCGGTGCTGAGCGGTGCGTGGGTGGGTACCAGTGGTGGCACCTACGCCATGGTCGGGCAGACTCGAGTGTCGGCAGCGCTGGCGTCTGCCCTCGTGACCCGCATGTCCACCAACATGCCTATCTTCCTGCACGTGCGCGTCGGGGCACAGGGCACCCTTGTGGCCAGGATGGAGTAGCGGGGCTGAGAGAAGAAGGGCTAGGGGAGTAAGGGTTGGATGGAACGTCGGAGAGTTGGAGCATGGAGTAAAGGGCGAGGGAGGAAGGGCCAAGGGGGTGAGAGGTCGGTGAAGCATGGAGTAGAGGGGGGAGCTGGGGCATAGGGCACCATCATGGCCAGGAAGGAGGAGAGCGGGTGGGAGGGAGGGCTAGAAGGAGTGAGAATGGAGTATAGTTGCTGCATGGTGGTGACACTGACAGACTTATCTGCTGTTTCTTGTCCCTTGCACCTGCCTCCCTTGTACATAAATGCTTCATGTGGACCCCAGCTTTCCTGGACTAACTCTTGCTAAGCATCGCGCCAGCTGGCTGAGCGTGGCGTAACATCAGAGCGGAAAGGAATCAGAAGAAAGATGAAGAACGAATGAACGAACGAACGAACGCTGGACAATGCGGACAAGAGAAAGAACAGCCCCAGCTCTGAAACAAGAGAGGGATGAACACATAGGCGATAATAAATGAGAAAATCGGAAAGAAGAATGACTGCTGCACTACCCAGTCCCTACTATAATGCTGCAATGCCGAATCCTTTCCGCAATCACACAGACAAAAAATCAACCCTCTCTCCACCACGGACTGCCAGCCTCGTACTGCTTGTAAACAGTTCTCACTCGCCCCTTGCTTTCTTCCACCTGCTCCTCCCATCTCACAGAAAACGCCTGCAAGCCAATCGCCGCTTCCGGTGCCGTCCCAAACAGGTGCTTCGCCTGGGACAGCACCTCCGCATCCACAAATTCCCTTCTCCTCTCTTGCTGGCCCGAAATCCCCACTCCATTCCCTCTCACATCAACTGAACCTCGGTTGGGTGGTATGGTTGCTTTTAGAACCATAGGTGCGGCCTGCTGGGCTTGGGCGGGGCCGTACATGGTGTCACCGAGGAGGGGCGCGCCCAGCGCTGCAAACTGTGCTCGAAGCTGGGATGGGAGGACAGGGAGAAATGGGAGAAGGGAGAACATGGAATAGGGGAGAATGGGAAAGATGCACAAGTTGGGGTACGGTCAGGAGCTGAAGCTGAAGCTGCAACATCAGCGCATCCTCTCCCCTGGATCATAAGAGTAGCCTGCTGGGCTCGGGAGGGGCCGTACATGGTGTCACCGAGGAGGGGCGCGCCCAGCGCCGCAAACTGCGCTCGAAGCTGGGATGGGAGGACAGGGAGAAGAGGGAAATATGTACAAATTGAACAGCAGCGCATCCTCTCCCTTGGACCATAGGTGCAGCCTGCTGGGCTTGGGCCAGGCCGTACATGGTGTCACCGAGGAGGGGCGCGCCCAGCGCTGCAAACTGTGCTCGAAGCTGGGATGGCCGAGTAGGGAAGACAGGGAATTGGAGGGTGAGGGAAAGATGCAGAATTGAAGGCTCTGTCACGGCCTTGAGCTGAATCTGCAACATCAGCGAGCGCATCCTCTCACCTACGATGACACATCACGCACATGCGATACCATATTATCCCATCACCTACCACCCGAATCCACATCAGCTGAGCGCCGTACCTGGTGCGTTCTCCCTGTTATCAGCTCCACTAGGCACTCGTATGCCACGTCAGCAGCTGGCCAATAAGAGCAGTCCACGTCAGCAGAAGCCAGCGCAGAATCAGCAGGCCACGGCACCTCCTCCACTCGGCGAATCACGAGCTCGCAGCGCTGCCAGCCTGGCATGGCTTCTCGGGTTAAAATCTTCGGGGAGTATGGATCGGGCAGCATGAAATGTATGTGTCTGCCCGGAGCAGGAGCAGATGCGGTTAGGGCCTTGTAAAGCTTGCGGACCTTGCGACCCTGGAAGGAAGGGGGGGGGGGGGGGGGAGGGAGGGGGGGGCCGAGCCGAGGGATGCAAGAGGAGAGAAGAGACGAGAATGGAAAGTAGAGAAAAAAGAGCCTTCAAGAAGAGGGTTCATGGGGAAGGCTACAGGCGCAAGGTGAGATGATGCAGGAACAAGAGGAGTCATGGAATGCTGCAGCATCAAGATTGCAGGATGGGATGGGACCGCATTGAGCACAGTGGCGGCGGCATTGGTGGTGGCGGCGGCGTTGGTGGTGGCGGTGGTGGTGATGGTGTGTGGGCGAGGCTACAGGGTCACGCGCGGACGGACCTGAAGCAACTGGTTGAAATGGCTGGCGAACTGGCGGTTCTTGGCCATCACCACACTGCAGGGAGCACGGACAAATTAAAACATAGTCACATAGGAGTTATACAAGGCATGAGTGCTCATCGCCGACTGAAACTCTGAACCACAGGCTAACACGGGCTGGTGTGTGAACTACTAAACAAAAATGCCGCACACATTCCCAGCGGCATCTGTCCAACCAACCCCGGCTCCTCGACCCACCCACCCACCCACCCACCCACCCACCAGCCCTGCGTGCAGAGGTCGAGCTGGTGGGTGAGCTGCAGCGGGCGATCGAGCTCCACGGCTTGCCCTCCAAAGAATGCGCAACACTCCAAGAGATTGTCCACTGTGCCGCCCACCTGCAGTGCAGTGCCCAAACAGCAGGGCAGTGCATCAGGAGGCACGGCACAGTTGAGGGCTGGAAAATAATCACACGGCCTGGATAAGTGAACGCACACTTGGGGTCTGAAACATGATGCCATTGACTGGAATGTGGGTGCTTGGCGAAAAGATTGAGTGAGTGGAGGGTGCTGTTGTGAGCAAAGGACTGGGTGGGAAATACTGGGTAGAAGCGAACAGAGGGTGTGACAGGGCCCTGGGTGAGGGAGCCGCTTACCGGAACGTTGTATGGCTTATCGATCACCACATAGTCATCCTCGTTAACAATCACCGACTTTCGCCAGTCAAAGCTGTAGCACCTGCATCCATCCAAGGAAGAATTTAGGGTCGTGCGGATAGGTAGCCACCTCAGCGCAGAAAACATCTGATGAAACCAGAGAAGAGCATTAGATTAGATACTATCCACAAGCTCTGGGAGATTGTATCTGTGTTGGCTCACATTCTCATGGCACGTTTAAACTTTTACGCAGTGCGTGCTTCACTCACATGGGGAATCGCTTAGGATGCACGTGAACTCGGAGGTAACTGCCTGCCTTCACTCTCACTCCATACTCCTCCTCCCCCTCCTTCCCCTCCTCCCCTCCCTCCTGCTGCTGACATTTCTCCTCGCCTCTACCATTCCTCCCGTCCGTTTTGCCCCTCATTTCTCGCCCACTCCCCTTGCCCTTCTTCCCCCCCTTGTCTCGGGACCTCTGCCGTTGCCGCTTCTCCTTCTGCCCAACGCCTCTTCCCCGCACTCCCCCCACCTCCACCCTTCTAACCTTCTGCAACTCTGCCAATGTGACCTTTGGTTGACGCGAGGAGGAGGAAGAGGAGGAGGAAGCGGAGGTGGGAGAGGAGGGCGAGGAGGAGGGGTCAGTGGTGTGCTGGGCAATAAATTCAAGGTAGGCTTGAAGGGCCTCTGGAGGGAGGTTCGGAGGTGGGGGAGGTGGCACCTGGGCGTGGTAGATCCCACCAAATCGTATCAAATCTGTGACGTATCTGCATGATTGGATGGGAGGCAAAGCACATGGAGTTCAGCATAGAAAATTAAAGATAGGGTCAAAGCAACAAAGGAAACAGAGTGAATTAATGCTCAAATGTCGGCTATGCTCATCGTGGTTTTGCTGCTTCAAGCTTCATGCTTCATGACTCATGCTCAATGTGGTTTTGCTGCTTCATGCTTCATGATTCATGCGCAACGTGGTTTTGCTGCTTCATGCTTCATGATTCATGCTCAGCGTGCCGACTTACTCCCTCGGAAGCTCCAATGATTCAGCCACCACATCCACAACCCTGCCTTCTCGTTCCACCAATAGGTGCTCGACACGTGGCGGTAACTGTGGCTCTGGACGTAGCTGAAGCCGCGTGTAGGTGATCCCCGACCAATCGGGAAGCTGTGACAGCGGTTCGGAATTTCCTGCATTGCTGCTACTGGATGCGCCGCTTTCGGTGCCGTTGTTCACGGTGCTACGCACCGCTGTGATTCGCTTCCCCGCGCGCCAAACGTTCGCTCCCTTCGATCCTCCGTATGCACCGCCGCTTCCTGCGGCGAGGCTGAGACATTTAGGGCGATCGATGGTTGGGATGATATAAAAGAACGGCTTCACGACAAGCGCGTTGGTAGCACCGGCTGTTCTGATCCAGGAAAAGGATCGTTGCATCAATAAGAATGACTGATCAGTGAGCAGATGGCGCGTGACGGTCGGAAACAGCGCAGCGGAAGACACGCTGAGGCTGGGATTGGAAGTGTCGCAGACGTTGCAAGATGAAAATAGTTTGCTTTGGAATGAGGCGGGAATGGCGGTGGTTCACGACGTTTTGGGGATGGGATAGGGCGTCACGAAAAGCTCAACACACTACGGTTCAGTGAGTTGCCGTTAGCTTCATTATATAGGTCCTTATTCCATTTGTATACCATAATTTAATTTGTGTTCGCGACAGGAGCAGTGGGCGAATCGAGGCACAGTAGAACGCGAACCAGGCGAACATTGTTGGTTCTGAGCTGTTCCGTCACCTTTGTTACTTCTTGACTTCCACAAATATGGGATGGCCTCGTCAGCAGGCTAACACGTCGGCAACTACACCCCACACGGCGATCAGATGTGTCTGCCAAAGCATCCCCCTCGAAAATGACGATGCTTCGCAACCGTGGCCAATCGTTGCTGTTCAGCGACCAGCATAATTGCATCGTAGCCGCTTCTTTTGGATCAGACGAGATTCGCGCGACATTCTCAAGGAATCGGAACGGAATCCATGCTCTCCCCCTGTTCTGTTCTGTCCCAGGGGCATGCATTTCAAGTGCTATTCCTGTAGAATTGTAAATCCATTTTCCGATTGCTTCAGATCAGCAGTGAGTGCTAGCTGATCGACGAAGACTGTTTTGCTAGTAGGCGCTGCTCACTCTTCCTGGCTGCACTTGCTGGTTGTGGAGCATAATTTGCTTCCATGGCGGAAAAAGAAAGCGGTATATCCGTGGGAAAGGTGGCGGGAATTGCAGCATGGGCAGCAATCACGCGGAAATTGGCACTCCCTTCTCTGCTTCGTGCGACGGAGCTTTTCGTTTTCAATGGCGAGGCTGTCGTTAATTCCGACATAATCCTTTCTCTCCTCGTATGTGATTGTGCTATAATTACATGTAGTAACAGCACAGATCCACTCACAAGCGAAAAGTCTGTTTAGTTTCCACCAGCCACTTCCGACATCCGATACCAAACCTTGGAAGCTGTATCAGCCAGCTAACTGGAACATTTCACGATTATCAATCATTTGTTTCACGTCACCTGGAAGCAACTGAATAATTACCCTAATCGCGGCTTTAAGCTCGAGACGTACTAACATAGTACCTTCTCACGCTCTAGTCTCCTTTAAGCCTTTTTCCCTCACCCCTATCTCTCCCGGCCAACAGGCGCTCTCCACGTGTCCGCTCTCGAAGGTCCAGAGCGTGATTCGTTTCAAGGATCCCAAGGAGACGCTGATCGGAGCGGTGGTCGCAGCGGTGTTGGGGCTTCACAACGTCGTCGTGCGCCGCGCCAAGCTGAACCGACTCAAGGAGCAATCGGTGAGCTCAAATGAACCGACGGTGAGCTGAAATGACCGACTCAAGGAGCAATCGGTGAGCTGAACCTCCTAAAGGAAGAGTGTTTCTGGAACGTCAAAGGCGTGGCCGAAAAGAAGGTCGTTCTATACAATCCTGCAACGTTCCATACAATCCTTCACATCACGCGCAGTCCACGTGCATGCTCATGCAATCCTTCACATGCTGTCCACCGCAATGATCACGCGATGCTTCATGTGCAGATTACATGCAATGCTCATGCGCTTCATCACGTGCAGTTCACATGCATGCTGATGCACTTGTTCACGTGCTGCCCACATGCATGCTCATGCAATTGTTCACGTGCTGCCCACATGCATGCTCATGCAATTTTTCACGTGCTGCCCACATGCATGCTCATACTGTCCTTCACATGCAACTATCCACATGCGCGCTTCCTTGCAGATGCTCCTGCCAGGGGAGGAGGCCGTCTGGCGCAGGAAGAACCTTCCTGGAAATGAGCTTGTGAGTGGGAACGTCTCTGCCGCTGTTGACAGGACACGATCAAGCACGGCCGGCATTTCTTCACAATTTATAGTCTATTAATCCAAGAAAAATGGCTTCATTCAATGTGCATGACTGAGGATACATGGTGCAGTGATGATCACATGCGTTGCATCCATGATGAGCCTGGTGTGCCCAAGCGTTTCTTTGGTTCTATGGCGGCATGCATGAATGCATCACGATGCCATGGTATGCATAACAACTAAGGATGACGTCACCACTGCTGTAACAACTCAACCATGTTGTCACCCCGTGCCATATCCCTCTTCGTTATGGTGCTATGCCATGCTAAGCTATGCCATGCCATGCCATGCGTTGTTACGCATTGTCATTTTACACTGTTTCGCGCACTACCTCACCCATTCCTCACTTGTTGATCTGTGTGCATGTGATTGTACATGTGCATGTGCATGTGCGTATGCTGGTCGTGCATCGCCACGTGCATGTGTCAGATGGTAGTGTCCTACGAGGAGGCCTCCACGTGCTATCACAACTTCTTCACCTTTGCTCGCCAGAGGTTCGCAGATGTGAGTGCCGGGCCTTGCCGTGCCATACCATTTTGTTCAGCCCTTTGCTGATGTGAGCGCTGTGTCACCCTGCTGAGTCCAAATGATTCCGCCCATCATATGTCATGCCATGCCATGCCATGCTGTGTCATGCCACATGATGCCACATACCAGCTGAGACCTCTTCTTCCCCCTTTCATTTCCCATTCCTCTTCATCCCATCCTCCCATTTCCCACCTGTTCCATTATCTCCCCTCCCCACAACAGAACCCCTGCCTGGGCACTCGAACCAGTGATGGATTCTCCTGGGAGAGCTACGAGCTCACGGCACGCCGAGCCTCCGACTTTGGTGCGGGGCTGGTGTACCTGGGGCTGAAGCCCGGCGACAGGTTCGGCATCTATAGCGTGAACAACGCGGAGTGGGTGCTGGCGGAGCTGGGAGGGTACTGCTACGGACTTGTCAACGTGTCACTGTGAGTATGGTGAAGGGCTGATGTGAGTATGGTGAAGGGCTGATGTAAGTATGGCGAAAGGGCGATGTGAGTATGTGCTCTTCTATTTACACCCTCTGCATCCCTCCAAACCTCTGCATCCCTCCACACTTCCCTCCCCACCTCTGCACCCCTCTGCACCCCTCCCAGTTACGCCACACTGGGGCAGGAGGCGGTGAACCACGTGGTGAATCACTCTGAGATGGTGGCTGTGGTGTGCAGCGTGGAGGTGAGCGGTGGTGAGCGGTGGTGAGCGGAGGTGAGCGGTGGTGAGAGGTGATGCGCAGCATGGAGGTGCGAGTGGGAATGTGTGTGCTGTGTGAGTGCGTGTGGTTGGCTAGGTGGTTGTGTGGGGGTGGATGTAATCGCCATCCTAAGCCATGCTTCTCCCCTTCCAACTGCCTCCTCTCTCCCCTCTCTTTCCTCACCTCCCTTTCTCCACTCTCATTTTCCCCTCTCCCTTCCTCCCCACCCTCACCTCTCTATTCAATCTCTCCTTTCTCCTC